GCCCAGTGATCTCATCAACAGCATTTCAAAGTGCAATATGACTAACAAAAAGATTATGCTTTGTATCTAATGGAATTTGCCATGGTATTATCCACAAAGAATATCTGAAAAAAGGTAAAACCCTCGACAGTAAGGTGTACAGTAAGATGCTAGTCCATGTTGATGCTGGTATCAAGGAAAAGTGTTGAACTGAGTTCTGGCGCAAAAAGGTAATGTTCCATAAAGTTAATGCAAGACTCTCACATGTGTCTGCATTCACCGGCTCAACTTTGTATAGGCTCGAATTTTATTTTGGCCTATATGGTGCTACACCCACCATACCATATATGCCCAACATCGCTCCTTTGGATTTCTACTTTTTTTTCACACCTGCAGCTACATCTTACTGGTGCCAGGGTTCATACACATTTCTGCAGATGGAAATTAAGTACTTTTAATGACCATTAATGAAAAAAAATTAAGAACCTATCAGCAAATGGGAGCTGAATAAATTCAATTAAAATTCAATCAACTTATGTCTGAACTCCATTTTTGTAATAACCCTCTAAGAATAAAATATATCCGTAAGTAGGATGCATTCTTATTAAATATAATTTAATAAACATAACTATAAAACAAATTTGAGAATAAAATCCACTTTATAAAGTTTATTAAATAGCATTAAGTATTTTACATGTATAATAGTTGGACATAGTTTGAAAGAAGATTAGGGACATTTTTTATTTACATTTTACTAACAGTTAGCTTTATACATACAAAGTCCGTAATCCAGACTCATCGGGACTTCGCCGATTCTGGATTAAGGGTTTTTCCAGATTATAGATATTCAATTTAAATCTGGTAAGATGGCATGCAGAAATTATACAATTAAAAATATGAAACCGTAATTTATGAAATAAAGAGCAATTATGATTTAAAGGGTATCAAAATTTACAAAAAAAAAAAAAAAAAAAAAAAAAAAAAAAAAAAAAAAAAAAAAAAAAAAAAAAAAAAAAAAAAAAAAAAAAAAAAAAAAAAAAAAAAAAAAAAAAAAAAAAAAAAAAAAAAAAAAAAAAAAAAAAAAAAAAAAAAAAAAAAAGAAAAAAAAAAAAAAAAAAAAAAAAAAAAAAAAACTTAAAAAAAAAAAAAAAAAAAAAAAAAAAAAAAAAAAAAAAAGCTTAATATTTATTTGTTTACTTTATTAAACATTTCTTTCAATGTAAGTTGTTTAATTTGCTTCATTTTCTGTACTAAACATGCATGCATAAACATTAAACGCGCATGCATAGCATTAAACGCACATGCATAAAGCATACAAAAAAAAAGTTCATGGCTTTGAGGTCCGGAATCATTCCGGTTTCCGGAAAATGCTTTGAGGTCAGATCATTCCGGATAATGGACGGACGTCCATTATCCGGATACAGTACAATGTCTGTAATCCGGACGGATTACAGACATTGTACTGTATTGTTTTTTTTTTCCTTTTATGTCTTATTTTGCCATGTACTTAGTCTAGAGGTTTAGTAAACAGCAGGTAAATTTTATATCAAAAGTCATAGGTTAAAATGAGATGTAAAATCGCATTTAGCATGATACAAAAAAAAAAAAAAAAAAAAAAAAAAAAAAAAAAAGACTGGCTGTTGTCACCGCTCCTGTTTTTCCCTACAGAGAGACCTGCTGATTAGAACAAACCTGAAATGTCTGATATAAGCACGGCTGTTAAGTTTTGAAAGTTAGCTGGGCTCTGTCTGACGAGCTAGTGTCGTAGCTTCGTTTAGAGTTCCAGAGGTCGTAACTCAGCTACTTTAAGTTTCTAATAATCCACTAAAGCACCAGAGGTGATAAGTTGTTTTGCATTGTTGTAAGTCTCACTAGATGCGAAGAATAAGTTTTACACGAATTTTTACATTTCTGTGTTTTATCTTGTGACCACGGTAAGGGTCAAATGAAAGGCAATAACTCGCTTTAATATGCAGAGATAATTTTTAAGCATAAGCAGTTAGTTATAAACAAATAAATTAGGTATTAGATAACCTTACTCATTATGGATTTATATGGTCACTATTAAATCTTACTTCTTTTTTAACAATATTTGTTAAAAAAAGCCCTATTAAAATCACAATCTAATAAGATTTCACAATTTAAAATGCATGTAATCTCTAACATTGATTCTTAAACGATATTAGATAATTACACATTAAAAGATACAACCCATTTATGTTTCATAACAACAACACTCAACAAAATATGCATCTTTTTAATTTAAAGCCTTCCCAGACATTTTGGCTAATTTATATAGATTTCCTTCTCTTTAAGCATTTTTTCTAACAATTAGAAATTTGTCTCAGTATACAAAACAATGTTCTCACTAGTTTCTGCATGTTTTATCTCCTAACCTGTCAACCTCTCCACAATGCACCTATGAAGGTTTTACTTGAACTGGTAAAAGTTAAATAGTCCAAAACCCCTCTCCCCAACAGATGTGAAGCAAATTGTCGCTATGTCTGAAAGTAACTACAAAGTCAAGACAGGTTTAAATAAGCTTCTTATTTAAAAAGAAGTTAGAACATAAAGGCATGTTCTTATGCATGCTCAATTACAGCTCGTAGTGATGTAATTAAACAAGAGTCAAATTCAAACTAAAAATATGGACTAGTGATCAAAGACTATACAACTTAATTTAAACTGAAGCTGTCTCAGTGACTCTATCATCATAACAAATTCAAATGCCGGCAGCAGTTATGCAAAGACGAATAATTAAAAATTATAAGAGCTGGCAGGAACCTATGCAAGGAACAAGTGAAGGTCAGAAACGCACTCTTGTCTTACACTCCAAAAAACCTCAGTTTAAAAACTGTCTAAGTGATTTATATTCTGGTAAGAAAATAGAAATGGGAAATTATAGTAAATGCTGAAATTGTAAACAACTAGATAATTTACATAATAATAACTGTACATATCTTTGAAGAATAATTTTCTTTCTCTTTATGCATTCAATTTCTTTCTTCCATGTTTCCTTTTCATTTTAGAATTTTTGGATTTAATTAAAGATTTCTGTTATTCTAAAGAAATTAAATGCATTTAGAATGTATAAAAGAAAAGCTGCTAATTTTATTTCTCTAGTAATATGAAAATTCAGAGGAAATATGAAATATATATGGTAAGGTCTGGTTACAGAGCTCGTGTGGCAAATTTTTAGAATTTAGTGACACGCCAAGCAACAAAATCTAGAAATGGGAAAAATATTAAAATTTAGAGCACGCATTGGAAGTAGAATTTAGGATCCTCAGAGATTGCATCAGGTGGGAAAATACTTGGCACCGGCACTGTATATAATGCATTAAGACATATTAGAAGAATCTTTTAAATTGACAGTTTTTAATTGCTTTATTAATACAAAAATTCCTTTCTATAATTTGCCTGTCCATATGATAAAATTAGAAGCATTTTGTATATTTTCCATGCTTGTGTCTAGTGAAAAGCAGAGAAAATAAAGGGAAGATATATATGTTAAGAAAAAAAATTGTAATATCAAAAGTAAAACATTCAACTATTATGTTTTCATTACTCTTCCAGACGTTCTCCAAAAAGTAAGAAATTACATGTTAATAACATGGACACATTTTCCATTTTGTCAATTTTTCTGGAATCTTCTAGATCTATAAATCTTGCCTTCAAATCTCTCTAAACTTTCCAAGCTGCAATGTCTAAAATCCTAAAGAAAAATTACCCCTACAAATTCGGTAACAGCAAAAAGGCCAGAAATATTTTGAAAAAGAAAATCGGATGGAAAAAGTGTAAAATTAATTTTATAGAGATAACTGTCGCATATTCTGAATATTCTGAGACAATTACACACGAAAACTTTTGCCATGAAAAAATTAAAACGACATTTTTAATTAATTACATAGCTAGTTTGCTTTTGCTAAGAACTGTTTTGTAAATTGTGCTTTGTAGCATTATACCTTGCTTATTTTTCAGATTCAAAATATTGTACAAGTGCTCAAAATGGAACTTTATAATACGACATCAAAAAATAAAAATGCTTTATTTTAATGTTATTTCTTAAATGTAATTACAATATATTACCATTATTTTAATGAAATTTATGAATGTTATAATGTTCTAAAAAAGTCGTTGAAAAATTCCCAGACCTTGGAATTAAAAAATTTCTATAAAAACTGATCTTAAAATCGTCAAAATATTGATAAGTCGCCAAATTTAGAACCGTTTAATAAAAGAAAATAAAAGAATTTACATCCCCAAAAGCGAAAAGTTGTTTTAGAGCTCTTTAGTAGAAAAAATGAAAAATTTTGAAAAAACATATGTCTCACTTCTTGCTCATAACACATTTACCCATTCAAAAGATAACCATATTTGTCAGTGAATCGCCAAAAACATTCCTCCAAAATGCTAATTCACACTCAAAATGACAGTCATAAAAACAAACACAAATTTCATATGATTAAATTTAAGGACCTTCTGCCTATTTTGGTCAAAATTAAGGACTTTTAAGGACCAAAAATCGATTAAAAAAACTTAAGGACTTTTAAGCACTCTTAAGGACCATACGAACCCTAGGTATTATCTTCCATTCTTCACAGGATGTCCGAAATGAGGTTGATCTGTTTTTGGATTTGCGGCCACCAAGTTTCTGGGCTGAAGACTTTGAGAAACTACCAAAATGTTGGCAAGAAATCATAGATTTGGGTGATTATTAATACTTGCACTAAAGATACTGCTTTCATGTTTTTTTCTAACTTTATTAAAAACGTTTTTCGGCAGAAAACTTTCGTTACAACCAGATATTAAAAAGTTGACAAATACAATTAAATGTGTTGGTTTTTGTATGAAGAAAAAAATTATAATAAAATTGATTTTATAAGAACTTGCAAATAAATTTTAAAGAACAATAAAAATGTTTCTCTTCTTTCAGAAGGGTAGGATTATCATGACTTCATAAAACTAAAATTCACAATTACTTGAGATATGATTATATGCTTTAAATTTAAATTGCTTACAGTCTGATGACAGGAAGCACATGTAACTGCTGAACAATCAGGGCAGTATAATTTCTTCAGCCGTGGGCTTGCAATGAATCCAGATGAACACTAAAATTTTTTTTAAAGGGGGAAATGAAAAGTTAAATATTTAATAAATAAACACTTGCTCAAGCATAAATATACTACTTTATTTGAAAACTACTTTATTGAAATATATACTACTTTATTGAAACTATGTTGAATCACAGTTCTAAAAAAACTGCATAAAGGAAAACTAAATCATTATTTTAAAATTTTCTAATTTGGAAAAAAAAAAATACTGAGAACTTAAATCACAGAATTTTTCTAATTAATTTATAAATTGGTATTAAAGGTATTATTTTTTATAAAGTTTAAATAGTATGTTAGTCACTAAATATTATTAGATCCTTTTCCTTCATTGAAAATTATCAGAATGTCCTAGAATAAGGAGATAAGCGAGTAGAAGTTGCAGTATTTTTATGATAGACAATTTTTCATGTATGATGAAGAGAGAAAAATAATAGTTGACAATTTAACATAGCAGTTTTCAACATTCTCAAAAAAAAAAAAAGGTTTTAAGTTTTTAGCATCTATTCTCTGAAATTAATTAAGGGTTACATTAACATTCTTAATGACCTATATAACATCAGGCATATTTTTTATACTACTAAGAACTCAGAAACATTCCGATATTTTACAAAAGATTTCTTGTTTTTCTATAAATGTGTTAAAGGCAAATAAAACAAAATAAGTGTTTTAAGACTTATTTTTTACCTATTTTTATAAAAATATTAAACTTCTGCTATTCTGAGATTAAAATCTAGATTTCATACAAAACTTTGAAAACTGATATTTTGGTATTTGATGCACATAACAACAAGAAAATAAAAATTTTGAACTTAAAAATGATTCTCAAAGCATAACAACTAAATTTCTTATCAGACTATTAAATAAATGTTAAACATTAAAAATAAATAAACAAAATGCTGGTTTTACACCTTCAACTGATTAATAGTCTTTCAGCCAACTTAAATGTCACAAAAAATCTCATTTAATATATATATATACAACATGTCCGCAAAAGTCCTTACCGAGCCTTTATTTTTGCAACCATTCACAGTATACATGTACTTCAAATTACAAAAATGTTTTTAATGAAGCAAATATTTATGTTTTCTCATTTTTAAATTTAAAAAAAATTTAAGGTTAGAACCAATACCTATATTTATAATATGGAAAATTTTATACTCATTATTAAAAAAAATGTACAAAGAGTTTCACTCACATATGACGAAAACTGACCAAGATATTTAATTTCAAAGTGTGCAATTTTTTACGTCATTTTCACCTAGCCTTGAAAGGCCAGTTAATAAATAAATTAAGATTTCTTTCTTTCTTTCTTTTTTTTTTTTTTTTTCTTTTTCTTTAAAATATCATAAAATGATATTCTATTTTGTTATAAGCTAAAAGTGTTTTCTCTCTAGTAATTCTTAAATTTTCAAAAGCCAAAAATATGCTAATATTTTCATAGAACTTTACTACTTTAGAATTGGTAAGACCCGCCTAACGCTAGAGGGTGCTAAGAGCGCCATTGAGTGTGCTGAGATTCGATGGAAGTTACTCGATGGATGATGTGCGATTTCCGAGATTGAGATATTATTATATTTAATTAAATCAATTTATATTTTATTGATTGGTGATTATTGAATTTGATTTATTGATATGAGATGTGATATGTTTTGCTGAACCACCAGACTTTTGACAAACTTGGATTACCACTGAATCTCAAAACCACCGATGCACAAGAATCATAATCTAATAATCATATAAAAAATTCATTAAACAAGAAATATTTAAAATTTTGAATTTATGAAAAACATTAAGAAATGCCAATCTCTCAATACCGTCTTCAGCTTAAATGCAGCTCCTGAATGTGAGGTAAACCTAAAATGAAGTACTTCATTCAATTTTTGTCTCATGGGAATGATATTTTTTATTTTTTACTTTTTATAATAAGGATTAAATTTTCCTACATATGCACAAAGATGAGAAGACCATATAAAATGTTTTGTAATTTTACAAAATTGTTCTTTTTTTAAACTAAAAAATGCCAGATCATGAATCATTTAAAATATTTTTGTAATTGAAAGTATATGGTTGTGAAAATAAAATCCGGGTAAGGACTTTTGTGGACACAGTGCATATACAGCAGAATTCCAATAAATTGAATATCTTGGAAACAAGCAAATTTTTGCAGATTATAAGTCAAGTCTTTCTGAGTTTTGCTTAGACTTTTCCTTTTTAATTTTTAAATTAAATTTATGTTTGTACATAGATAGCTAATTAAAATACACTGATAACTTCAGAATTATTTACCCTCTGGGTGGCATAACTTTTTGGATCTGCTCATGAAATCCTACATTTAAACACATTTTATTAGCTAAATTTTTGTAATTATTTATTTTTGTCTTGGTTTTCATAAACTTCTGTTCATTAAGATAATGTATACATTATTTAAGAAAGAAAGCAAAATATTTTGAATTATAATCTAATACATACAAAGTGACAAAAATGTCATGGTCGAGTAGAGGCAATCATGTGACTCAGAGGGTTAATCAAGATTTACTGGCTATAAAAATATTATATATTTAAATGTTACTAAAGGGAAAATAATAATATCAGTAGATGAGGGAACACTGCAGAAAGATTTTAAGAACTCATTGTAAAAATTAATCAAAGAGTTTTACATTAAAAAAATGTATATTCACCAACAAAATTACTTTCAAAATACCTTTTACACTATAAAATGAGAGAAAAAATAAATACTTAAATAAATGTGTATAAAACTCTTAATCATTTTTCTAAACTTCAATTCTTAAGCTAGTTACACCATGGCATTCAACACATGCACAAATGAACTACCAATAAAATGAACTAAAAAAATTAACAAATGAACTTATAAAAACTATTTTTTATTTGTTTTTTAGCCTTCTATTTATATTATTTTATACATTTCAAATCAAAGTCTTCCCCTCCCTCCACACCTGAAATTAAGCAGTTTTGTTAGAACTGATGATATCTTAATATAAGATGAATGACATAATAATTAAGTAATGTAACAATGTAAAGAAAGTGGTTGATTAACATTATTACCACTAAAATATCATAATATATCATATTTACATTATTTGTGATATCTTTAAATAACCAAGAGTGTCCTTACTTTAAAATTTAATTCTGAAACTTACTTGAGAACACCAGTGAAAATTTGGATCTTTTGTTAAAACTTCATCTCGAAGTTTTCTTTGAAACAAGTCATAAACTTTGCTGTCCAGTATATTTCTCAACTATTCAAGTAAAAGAAAAAGAAAGAAATTGAAATTATAGATAAGGTACTCTAAAACTACAGATAAATCTAAATTAATATTGGATGGCAACTAAAATGCATAGAAACAATGCATATAAAATTTAATATTGCAATTATATTAGAAAACAAGGTTTGAAATCAAAAGTTAATTATTTAAAATAGCATCTTTGCATTTGCCAAGTATTTGTCATTTGTTTACTTATTTTGTGGTAGCAGAAGAAGTAACAGAATATCAAATATGTATGGAAGAAAAGATCCTTTGTTGAAGACAATTTAAGGAAACTTGAAGCATTCAGTCCATTTGTGAAGAACTGAACTTAGAATGAATTAAGTGTTCAATGGTCTCATCAACTTAACACCACTGACCTAATTTTTAAGGCACTGCATAATATAAAAGTATGAAATAAAAAACAATAAAACAAAACAAAAATTAATAGTAAGTCTGAAAGCTTTAAAAAAAGCTCAGAAAGCTTTTAAAGGTTCTGTTGGTTTACTTTATTTTAATTATATCTTCTTTTATTCTTCTCACCCTAATTATATGTAAAATGTGTCAGCTATCTTATACCTTATCATATATCTTAATAATTAATAATTCTAATTAGCATAACTTAAAATTATTACAGACTTTATACTACTAATGCAGACTATTCGTATAATTTCAAGAATTTACTCATTTTCAAGAATTTTCAAAATATTTGTAGATTCTGCTTTTAAATTAAAATTACCTTCACTTACCATCATTTCCAGGTGATTGAAGTATTCTTGTATGTTTTGATCTGTAATATCTGGCTTAAAACAAACAGGGCACAGAAGTGTGAATATACTACGATCATAGATTAAAGAGGTAAAGTGAGCTTTCAAGCACTCCTTGCATGCTCGATGTGTACAATGGAACATTGAAGCCATCTGTAAAATCATATTTTCATATTAGTAAAACAGTAATAATCATAATCAATTCATAATATAACTATAATTTTGAGCAAAACTGTATAAATACTATCATCTCTGCTAAGCAACATACAAATGAAGGAATGACTTTTTATATTTCCATTATTGGAGCTATCACAGTGAATGATTTTGAAATCAATATATAGACAGCAGCACAAAAATATATAAAAGAAAAAAATTCAAAATTTTATGGAAACTTTTAAGTATGAAGATGAAAGTGTTTTTGAAAATATAAAACATAACTTTTTAATGTGATCTTTGAATGCCAGAAAACACAACTGGTAAACTGATAAGATAAATACAGAATGTTTACAAATTCACAGATATACTAAAGAACAAATTCACCAATTCAAGTCACTTTTTGATCCCTATTACTAAAAGAGATTAGGGATATTTGATTACCAAGAATGTTTGATTCCTTACTAAAATGTATACCAAAATCAATTAATAAAGTTTTAAAATCTGGTAACATGTTTATATCTTCACCTTTTAAAGTTATATCTTTGCATAAAAACTGACAACAAATAATAATTTACAGAAGTTTTTGTTTTAGGATGAGAAGTGACTTTTTGAATACAGCAAATTCAGCTTTCTTCAATGTAAATATACTGAATGTATCATTTTCTATAATTTATAACTTAAGGTAGTTAACTTTTCACAATTTTATAATAAAAGTTTTCTTGTCTAATATTATTTCCATAGTTTTGAGTATTTACTATCCAACAGGAATTTTTATTTAAAACAATGTGGATATTTGATACCACACAACTAAGACATATATTCCTAGAAATCAAGTACTTGTATTAATATGGTGTGTCATATATGATTACTTTCATTTCATAATATACTACAACTAAATTTTACATGAACTGTAACTTATGCAATAGTATAGACTCAGTTCCATAAAAATGAAAATAAAATAAACTATCTGATAAACTCTAAAAAGATGTGATATTTTGTCAGAATTTCTGCATTAAGTACACAGATTGTTATAATTTTGTTCTTCAAATATCGATGTTAACTTTGGAAGCCAAACACACATGATTTGTGTTAACAAAGGAAAAAAAAATAGCTGACCAAATTTAAAAGACAAGAATTTTAAATTTAAAGCTAGTTCATCTCATAATGAAAATAATGTTTAGAATTTGCACAACATGTGAGAAAAGGAATTTTATTCTGATCAACTTCAAGAGTTTGAAGAAATGGAAATAGACTACTCATGACTCTTGCTTGAAGGTGAATAATTTTGCTAAAATTTCAATAAAAGAGGAAAAACTATTTATTAAATGAGTAGAAGGGAGAAAAATGGGTTTTCTGAACAGGAAATTAATTTTTAAAGAGGAAAGTATTACTTTTAATCAATTCATTTTTCTTAAAAATTGATACAAGTATAGTTAATGAGAAAGATTGTACAAAGTAATCTAATCATATGCTACTAATTTTAAAAAAAAATTATTTTCATAATTTTAATTACAGTTTTATCACTAAATTTGTGTTCATAATTTTTATGCAGATCTACAATCCATCTGCTAATTCCAACAAAGAACCAAAAATTAATATATACATTTAAAATACTATTTACAGAACATTAGATATTTCTATAAGTGTACCCTTTTTAAAATTTTTGACTAGTCTGAAATATCCATAACATAAATATCTGAAGGGATCAAATGTCCTCTGATCCCTTTTTGCAAGAGATATTTGCATTAAAAGTCAAGCTTTATGCAGAGTACTAAAAATGTAGTTTCTGTTTTAATTTTAAAAAAATTTAAAAATTGCAGTTCGTTAAAACATATTTAATTATTATCAGTTAAAGAACATACTTTGTTAGGTTAAAACCTGACAAAAATCCTGTTAAAAATTTCTAAAATATCAGTCTACAGCAAACAAAAAAATTAAAACCGACGAAAAGTAAATTGACATCCTCAGTCTTCCTAAGTAATGCTTGTAGACAAAATTACATAACAAAAGGCAGTCATTTTGGTGGTTATTCATTCAAAATTGATTAAAATAGTGATCATTATTAACTAAGCAGCTGGATTCCTGAAATTATTCATTACTACAGCAAATTCTGATAAAAGTATGGAAACTTTTCATCTGATTAATAAAGCATGCTGAGTATTTTATTGGTTATAGAATTTGCATCAAGAAGACTATGTCAAAAGTTAAATTTTTATATTTATAAAACCCTCCTATATTTAGTGCTGAACCCATTTTCACAAAACTTTCTATTGAAAAATTACATAATCTGATGAACTTAAAATAGATGCATTGCTAGACAGGCCTGCAAAAAATTAGTTTTTATTCAAAGTTAAATTCCCAAGTTTAAATGTTTATTTTAATTATTTTTTAGAATTATGAATTTATCCTACTTTTTATCTTCACAGAATTAAAAATAAGCGTGTTGCATGAAAATCTGAATACTTTGAAAATACTTTCTCAATAAGGTTTAGAGAAAATCAAAAATATTTCAAGCAATTATGACAGATATCTTAGTAATGCATCCCACACGTGCAGAATAAGTGAAAGACATCTAGGCATTAAATAATGAAATGTTATCATTTTTACCTTATTAAAGTAGCCTGCCTGCAAATAAGCAAAAAAAAAAAAAAAAAAAAAAAAAAAAAAACAAAAAAAAAAAAAAAAAAAAAAAAAAGCACAAAAAAAAAAAAAAAAAAAAAAAAAAAATAAATAAAAAATAAATAAATAAATAAATAAATAAAGCAGAACAAAGTATACCCAGAACAAAAAAAGAAGTCTATTAGGGAGAGCTATAACTTAGAGAAAGTTTCAATGTGTTATGGTTTGAAGGTGAAGTTATGTATATTGTTACTTTAATGGATCAAGCCATGTTCCTCACTCTTATTTAATACTAGTTTTTGGAATACAAATGACAGGTAGAGCTACTGCAGACATTCCCCAAGAGCAGTTAAGGAATTCAAAATGTTTAAGAACTTTTTTTCTGTCTAAATAAGTGATAAAATTAATTAATAAATAGCAATAAATTGCCTAAACAAATATTATAATCCAACACCTTAACATCAGAATCACTGAATTAAAATTATTTCAAGAACTAATTCTACTGAGCCTGTGCAAACTGGCTGAACTTACTACTACCCAAATCACTATGCAAATCATGTGCTTTGACAAAGGTGTCATTTCATGCAATTACATCTTCAGCTCATACCTTGTCCATTGCATTTAATAGCCCTCGATTACTTCCCATGGAATTATCTAAATAGAGAGTATTTATGAATAGATAAAAAAACATTCAGCAGTTAAAGGAGAATATTTTAATACAGCAGTTAACTCCAAATATTCTAATACTCGTAAGAGTCCTGGAAGAATGCTTTGCAACAACTATGTAAAAGCCCAGCTGTGTGAGGCTGAAAATGGCACTCACTAACTTGGCATTCTCTTCAACATCTAGCTTGCGAATGCCTCCATTTATGATATGATGCTAATTTGAGAAGAAATACATGCAAACCCTACATCTACAATCAGCATCTAACTAAAATATTCATTGTGTTTTATTAATTACATATAAAACTTCGAAGCAAAAGTTGCAAAGATATTAGTAACATATAAATTTATGAAGTCAGCTGCTTAATTAATAAAAAACACATTTCAAACAATTTTGAATGATTAGTTGCCTAAATAAGTAGTTTTTATTTTGTAATTTCTTTTTAAATCTGATTAATTAATTTCTTTTTAAATCTGATTAATTAATTTCTTTTTAAACCTCATTAATCTGATTATTGTAATTTCTTTTTAAACCTCATTAATCTGATTATTGTAATTTCTTTTTAAATCTGATTATTAATTTCCTAAATTTCTTAGGAAAATCTGGGGGAAAAAATTTCCTTTTTACAGATTTTAATTCTTTCACCTACTGTAAATATGAATTTGTAACCTTTTTTCTTTCTTTCTTTCTTTTTTTTTTTTTTTTTTTACAATAACTTACAGAAATGGAAATTCAAAGTAAATGTGATCATACAAATATGCTGCTTTACTGGCACTAAACGGAATATTTTTTTTTAAATTAATGAGAGATTAATTGTTAATCTTACACTTCTGACTAAATTCTGTCAAAAACAAATAAAAAAAAATCATATAATGCTCTTCAATATAATGTATACAACATGTTTTAAAATATATATTAAAAAAATTATAATCAAAATTTAATAAATTTTCATAACAAAACTTTCATTTATATAGAAAAAAATAATTTAAATTACTGTCTATAAATGGAGGTCAAATACAAGTTTGCTTTGAATTGATAAGAATCAAGAGATCAAATTTTATTTTACAAATGCAGTAATTTAATAGCTAAATCAGATGCAGACATACCAGATTAATTGGAAATCTGCAACTGCAAAGTTCACATAATTGTGTTAGGAATTTGACTGCATGATATACACTGTTGCACTGGCGAGATGCCATCAAAGCATCTTCTTCTTCAAACTGCATTTCAATCAGTTTAGCTGCAATAAAAGCCTTCTCTTTATTTGCACACTTTCCTTCACTCTGCAGTTTAATCATACGTTCCTAGTAAGTATAATAATAAATATGCATTAATTAAATATAAATAAGCTGAAAATAAAGGTAGTAAAAGCTAAGATATCTTGATATATTTTAGATAGCTGTACACAGGGGGATTCAAAACTAGAGTAACAAACTTCTAAGAGTGCTGGGGTATATCCAGATGACTTGGAATCCCTTAGCAATGTAGGATCAGAAATGTAATCCTAACAAAATAGGAGGGGATTAGAGTCTGTTGCAGGAAAACCACCAACAGCCACCTGTAAAGATATTACGATGGAAAATATGACTAAATCATGATCACAAACTGCAATTTAAAGACCATAAGTTTAAAATAAGACATGATTTTCCTGATAATGAAGTTGCCTTAAATTTTGGAATGTGGGCACCAAATTCGGACAACCGGATATAATATCGGACATTTTGAAATATGCTGGGCATCTGTCAGATATTCGTGGTAGCCATGAAGACGTGTCATTTCAAAATGCCCAGTGCATTTCAAAAAGTCGAAGATTCCAAGGTCTTAGACCATGTTACAAAATGTCAGGACTTACTTTTATGGTCTTTACATGTCAGTTTGAGATCCCTATGAATTTCAACATTTTCTTTTCACTGTTACTGCTGACGAGCTGGAGGATAAACAAAGATGCAGGAATGATAAGCCAATAATGGGTGGAAAAAGTCTTTGTTTAGAAATAATTTAGAATACACTTTCAGTTTCAAAAGAAGTATTCAAAGTTTCAACCATTCACCATTATGCAGGTTTCGCAAAGGCAAAGCATCAACTGTCAGACCCTTTCAAAAATACCCAGATTGTCTTGGATGATTGCAGCTACTAAGGAGATTCTTGCAGTGACTTCATTGTTACAGTCAATGGGCATTTCATAGATGATGGCTTTCAGGATTCCCCACAAAAAGAAATCCTGCTAGATAGATCAGGTGATCATGGTGTCCACGGTATGTTATCATCCAAGCCCAGTCCACTGTAATGCAAATATATTGTTCTAATAATCCCATACAGTAAGGGCAAAATAAAGCTACTCATCATGTTGGTACCCCATTGCATGCTGAACAGACGTAGGGAACATTATCAAGTAGTTGTGACAGTACCTCCTATACAAAAACTAGATATTTTTTACCATCTAGTAGGGATGATGAGAAATATGGCCCCATTAAGTAATCACCAATAATACCCACACATACATTCACAGAAAGCTATCACTGGGCAGCATATGGGTACATACTTCGTGATTTGTCATGGCTCTACACACGAGTATTGCACTCACAAAAGACTGCTTCATGATAGCAAATGGCATTCTCTGTAAAAAGGATGCAGGATGAAAATGCTGGATACTAATTGCATTTGTTCACATACCAGTGCAAGAATTCCACACATCAAGGATATTCCTCAGGCTAAAATCATTGGATCCAGTGGAAAAGATATGAATACAAACACTTCCTATGTAATGTGCACTGGACTGAGATATTGTAATATCATGGGCAATTTTTCGTGTGCTTGTACCAGGAGCTTCTTCCACTCAATGCAATGTTTTGTCTTCTAACGCAAGTGTATGCATCCTTCGTAGCCGCTTTGTTCATGCTTGCTCTTGCAGAATGCCCCATATTCACACAGGTTGCAGTACAAATTTGCAAACATTCAGTAATTTGGTGCACATCTGTTCAGCATACAACTGTGTCAAGCCCCTCCATTGCAGTGAACTTCATACACAATGCGCATGTCATCATTTCCATGTTCATAAATTGTTCTATCCTTTTCATAAAGAATAAGAAATGACTAATGCTACATTTCAACTATATAACATTTTCTAACTACATTTCAACTCTGGCACCCTTAAATGTGTAAAACTTAGATGGTAAGAAATGATTTCTGGCACATAGCCAGAAAACTCTGCACAGTTTACTTATTGGAAAAGTCAAGATTTATTATGGCCTTAAGGTCTTTAAATGTCATTTGCGATCACGATATATTTATATCTTCCATCATAACTCCTCTCCAAGTAGCTATCGCTATTCCTGCAATAACCCATAATATATCCTCCATCCCATTAGAACTGCACTTCCATTCCTACATTGCTATGGCACACCAAGTTATCTAGATGTAACCAGCTACTCCTAGAAATTCGTTCCTCCAGTTTTTAATTACTGTGTATAATCAACATAAATATTTAGCAGTTATAATTCTTTTATATAGTAGAAATCAGCAGTTATTTAATTAATAAAACAAGGGATTATAAAACAATGTTAATAAGTGAAACAAATTATAAAACAAAATTGTATACATTAGTGTAATAGATAAATAACAAAAATATGTATCAGACAAAGGCTTGTTGTTTTTTTTTTATCCTTCAAAAAACACAATTTTAACAATTTTTTGCTTGCATAATTGGTGGAAGAATAATCTCTCTACACATAATAAAGGGGGAAATTATTTGTTGTTCTGAATATATTAAATAGAAGAAAGAAGTATCAAATTTAACTTTAAATTAAAAAAAAAATTACAAACTTTTTGTAATTAAAAATAATAACGATGTGTACTGATTAATATTAAATGCAGTTAATATTTATAAAATTATATAGTTTAATTTTTTATTTACATTGTAACACATATGTAAGTCATTACCAGGTTACTTTTATAAACAAAACTTTAAAATTCTCACTTCTCTCAAAAAATTGCAGTAATATACATGTAACTGAATTTTTTTTAAAAAAAGTAAGTTTACATGTATACTGTATACATCTTTAAAAAAAAAAGGTTAAACTAAGAAAAAGAAAATTTTTAAAATAAAAATCAAACTTTCTCTTTAGCCTTGTAGAAAAAGAAAAACTACTAAAAGAATACAATTAATTATAACAAATTATAGGGTTTTAACAAATATTTCCACACAGAGAATTAAATAAATTTTTTTCATAGAATACTTTAAGCTACATGCTTTAGAAACAGCTTAAAGTTTTCAAGCTGACTGAAATTCTGAATGCAGAAAAAATTTATATAAAAATTTCTGTCATCAATAATTTGAAAGAGCCATATGAGTTAATTGTTTATTTTTTAAAAAATTATTTCATTTGGTAATCACTTACAGCTGTTTTTTAATTACATTACTGAAATACAATATTTAAAATTGGATTCTGCAGATGCATATGTTAGAAGCACAGACAAAAGAACACTGGCTGTGTAGAAATGAGAAATTATCATTTTTGTTCTTATCATTACTATTGATTAATGTTACATTTTTATTCAAGTACTCAAATATTAAAACCCCTAAATGTGATAAAATATAAAAACAAAATACTCCAAGATTTATTATTTAACTTATTAATACTACTTCATTGCTTGGCTTTTTCTACCAAATGAAATTTATAACAGTCAAACATTAATAATGTTTTGTTACAACAAGAATATAAATGGTCCAAAAATTGCAAGACTGAAAATTTATTTTCTCCTCCTTCAAAGTTAGCCAAAATTGATCAAACTCAGAGCAGTTTCATATCAACTTTGCCTATTTCTGATCACAACCGGTTCACGAGCTTCTGCTCAGAATAAGCAATGCTTTTATTTAATGTACAGGCATGCAAAATAAATTTTAAAGTAGAAGTATATTGCTAGAATTTAAAAAAATCATGAAATCTTTTTCATAGATGTGAGTTACTTTTAATAACAATAATAATGAGGGGAAAAATAACTGAGCCACTAGCAAAGTAATGTTACTATTGTAACAGAGTATATTACAAAGACATATATAACTTTCCCTTTTTTACTTTTGTGAAACTGAATTAAGTGAGAGAAAAATCACGGAAATATACAGAGCATGGCAGTTAAATAAAGATTACAATAAATGCGTTTTTCTTATAAATAGAAAAGTCATAAAAATTACACTGAAATTTATCAAAATATAATCTCCTGCATCAATGTGGTGGCCTGATATGGTAATAAAAGACAGGCTGGTAAAAGCTTGTGTTTTGGCATGATTTTAAAAGCAGATATCAGATTCTTTTCATATCTTTAATGCCAAAAAAATTTTTCCATTAAGTTGCAGAACAGAAAATTACACTGAAAATAATCTAGAGAACAGGGATACAGCTAAGTACACTTATTTGCTTTGGAGCCAAAAATCTACATATCTACATTTACCCACATGAAGAAAAGCTTTTGTGCAATACAACACATTTAGAACACACTTCACATTAATGTTGAAGACAGCATTAAAAATCATCTGTTTAATTCATTATATAAAAGATCATATACTCTTATTAATTTTATTAATAAGAGTAGATGCCAGACATCATCTACTCTGACAGACATCAGTTTTATCACAATTTTGAAAAGAAAAAAAATCGTCGTTCAATTTCCCTTTTTTTTTTTTTTTTTTTTGAGAGGGGGAAGAATTGCAAGAAAATAAAATAATTTTGTATATTGAAAATTTAAGAATCTAAAATAATACTAAATAACTAAAATATATACTTACATCTATAGATGGCCTTTTCTTGCTGAGATCACCCCATTCAGTTTGTTCAGCCTTTTTCCTCCCCCTGTAGCTAAAGGATGATGATGATGATAATGATAAGGAACTGTCATCACTTTCTTCACTTTTTCTCCTAGAAGAAAATGATTTTGATTTTTTAGCTGGAATATCTGGAGGTACTTCAGTGATAATCTTTATGTCTTCAGATATATCCATTTTATCAGATATCTTGGATGCAGCAGATTCAAATGAAGACAGAGACTCAGATGATGAGGATAAACTTTCTGCACTGGATGATGAATGCAGAGATGAACTACGTTTTGACTTTTTGGGAGGAAGAGCTGGCCTTTTATCGCTTTGTTCCCCATCCTTAAACGCTTCTGTTGTAGTCTCTAGTGATTTGAGTTTACGTTTAGTTTTACTTGGAATGTGAGGTTTATAATCTGATGAATTCATTTCTTTTTCATGTACTTCCTTTAATACCATAGTTTTGGCCTCTGGCAAATTTATCTCAGACACTTTTAATGCTTTATCAGAATCTTCGGCCCATTCAGTGGAAACTTCAGTTCTAGATGGAATGCCATGTTTCATTTCCTCTTCCTGTTTCAAAGAATTTTTCTTTGAAGATGAATTAAAATAATCTTCAGCTTTTTGGTTAAGAGATTTTTGAGCTTTATCTGCAAAAGAATCAGATTTTTCAAATGGAATGTCATGTTTAGTTTCTGCTACACCCTTATGAAGAGCAGCTGGTTGATCTGAAGACAAATGTGCAGTTGTAGTTTCAAAAGATAATATATCTTTCTTTTCTGCATCACTAATATTTTCATCTACTGGAGTGCTAATATTTGTTTTAACAACTTGTATAGACTCTTGCTCTGAAGCCAGTTTTGTTTCTCCAGAAGTTTCTGATACTGGACCAGAAGCTTGCTGTTCTACATCGTTTTGAACCAATTTCTGAGATGTATTCGAAACATCATTTGGTAAAATACTTTTAATCTGATCAGCATTTGAAATATCTGTCTCGGAAGCAGTTGTATTTTCAGTCATAATTTTAGTCTGGTCTACATCATATTTGGTTATCTGTACTTTAGTGAAACTGTCAGATATTTCCCTTTCACAGATGGATCCTTGTAATTCAGAATCCAACTCAGTTCTTAATCTTTTTTCTATATCAGCTTCATCTGAATCTTTTAAAGATGAAGTGTGTTGCAATAAAGAATCCTTCAAATTAATTTTATTAACATTAGTAGTTAGAGATTGTGGGGAAAATTTTCCATTTTTCTCAAATATTTCAGATCCAGAAAAGGATTCCTGCTTCTCCTGAACATCCACTTCAATTTTTTCTTCCAAAAACTCATCATATCTTTTGTGGTATTCATCAAATGTAAAATCTTCAGATAGAAGTTTATCTATTTTTAATAACAAATCATCATGCTCAGATAAATCTTCTTCCTCAATAGATGGAGCATCAGCTGTAGACCAACTATCCTGTTCTTTGTCAGTAATTTTTAAATGAGGTGATACATCAGTGGATAGAGTTTTAAAACTATCAGTACTAAAAGGCACTTCTTCAGTGGGGCCCTCTTCTTCAAAGTTAGTAATGTTGAGATCAATTGCTCTTTGTATATCTTCATCATCATATTCACCATGTACACCAAATCCATGAACATCAGATTCACATTCTGAAAGAGCAGCTTCAATACCATATTCTTTTAAATCAAAACTTCGTTCAACCCAGTCATCATACTGTAAAGGATAAATAAACTCATCTTCACTAATTTCAAAACGCTCATTTTCAAGTACATACAGCTCATCTTGATATATTTCATTGCTTTCTATATTTTCGTCAAACTCCTGTTCATCAGGAAAATATTCCCCTTCATTTGCTAAATATCCCGTTTCAGAATGAGTTTTGTTTGATAAATCATTAGGGGATAATTCATCAGTTTCTGATTGGTAAGTCACTACACATTCATGAGTTTCCATTTCTTTTCTAAATTCAATCTCACTTTTTCTGTAATTACTTTGTACATCACATACAGTCCTATCAAATACCATACGTACACCAGTCTGTGAAGGAATTTCAGCAAATTCATCATAGAGTTCAGATATTTCACTTTCATCTAACTCTTTACTTTCTTCTTCTCTTTCCAAGAAGCACACAGATTGAGGTATTTCACTTGTACTTAAATGCGTAAGAACATCAGAGAAAGTATCATGAGATACTGATGCTTCATGATGATCATCAGATAGGCATTCTGGCTTGTCTTCAGCTAAGTTATCTATCAAATCAGATGTTTTTTCTGTAATGATGAAAGAGTGTACATCAGCATATTCTTCATTTGATGTCTCTTCTTTTAAAGAAACTGAAGAAATGTCAGTAAATTCATCATGAGACGTTTCTGTTCTTACTCCTTGTATAGACTCAGATGATGTATGCTCATCATTAATGGATTTAATATCACTAGGAATATCTCTACAATCAGAAGGAATTTCAGGCATAAGATCAAGTTTTTCGACACCATCACCATCTGATGTATCATTATCCTTGTCTGATAAAGATGGAATATCATGAGACAGAGTATCCCTAATTGAATGTGATTCACCTATTTCATGAATAGCATGGCATTTTAAAGAAAATATTTCACTCTCAATTTCACCCAGAGATGTATTATCAGATTTATCAGAAAACTTATCTGATTCTTCAACATCTAATGGTGTAACATTCGTTAATTCATCATCAGAGATTCTTAAACTTGAAGTATTTGTAGTTAAATCTGATATTTGTCGGATATCACTAAATTTACCATCATTTTCACTGCTAGATATTGCTAAGTTTGCAGAAGTCAAATCGGATGTGTCACATACATGAGTTGGGAGTGAAATACTCTCTGTAAATTTTAATTTAGGCTCAGATGATTTGGCTGATTTGTCATGAACTTCAGAAGGTATTTTGGATTCTTCAGCTATGTGATATAAAGTTGCTGTTAATTGGATTTGGTCCATATCTTCATGCTCCCTTCCAGTTGGTTGAATTTGATTGTGTAATATATCATCAATTTCTATATCTGACACTCGATCAGAATTTTCTGTGGTAGCTCCCTGTAGTGATATATCAGCACAAGTATCACTAACTTGGTCAGAATTTTCTGGATCAGTATAAAAAGATGAAATAGATGTATCTGTCACAGAGATAAATGCAGTTACAGAAGAAGCCTCTATGCCAGGAGTGATGATTTCACATTTGTCATCTAATGCTGTTTCAGCAAAAACTTGATTGTAATTTTGTTTATCAGATACTGAATCCTCTCCAAATTCAGAAATGGAATAATCTGTATCAGCTTCTAACCAATAATCAGAATTATCAGTTTTTTCTAAAGAAGATACATCAACTGCTTCTTGCTTTTGGGGCACAATAATCTCAGTATTAGGTGGTATGAATGGTTCAGCAACTGATAATTGTTCATTTAAGGATTTTATATCAGCAAAATGTTCCAAGAGTTTCCCACCCAATGAAGTGTCAACAAGCACTGCTGAATGTGATAAATCTTGAGCAGAAGTGCTAATAAATATTTGCTCAGATCTTAAGTAATCTGAAACTCCTTCCTCAGAATGTTCTGTTTGAACAGTTCCAATAAAGCTTTGCTCATCAAAAGAATCCATCTTAGATGTTTCTACATTTGTCACATCTTGCAACATTTGATTTAAAATTATAACTTCATCCTGTTGAAGTATTTCATGCGTCTGATGTGAAACTATAGTATTTGATTGACAAGTATGATCAGTTTGTATAATACTGTCATCTGAAACCTGTACCTTGCTTTGATTTTCTTCAAAATGCAGTTTAGTTTCCAAGCTCTCTCTTTTTATATCTTTCTCTAGATCATCCACATAAATATCGCTCTCAACATCAGACCATTGTTCAGACTCTTCTGTAAGAATATGCTGGGATGGCATGTCAGTAAAATCATCACTAGATGCAACAGTAGTAGAAATACTTGTTTCATGAAAGGGTTCAATTTCAATGTTACTCAAACCACTTGATTCTGAACATATAGGCAGAAAATTCACCTGCTTATCACTAGATTCAAAATTTTCAACAGTTCTTTCAGTTATTACTCCTGAAGTCAATGTTTCTTCAACAAGATGAGTTAATTCAGAAGCAATACGAGTTCCATGCAGTTTAGTTGTATCAGCTTTTATAAGTAAGGCAGGATCTGCCTTCATTTTTTCTGTATATTTCAGCTGATTTTTTTCAATGTCTTCTTTTGAAAGGATCTCACTGTTTTCAACACAGGTACCTTCCACAGCCGAATTATCTGAAATGGCTTCATCCACAAATGTCTTTCCTGTAAAAACAGCATCAAGTGTTTCCTGCAAATCTTTTACAAAGTTGTGTGAACTTAGATCAGTAAATTCCTTTTCATATGCTTTTTCTTCTCTGTAAAATGATGATGAAATATCTTGATTATAATTAAGTTCTTTTTCACTCTCTTTCTGATTTCCTTGACAAACATTAACATTTTCTCCAGGATCTGCAACCACAGAAGTCTCAGAATCAAAAATCTGCAATATGTCAGACGTTCGTTCAGTTAATTTTCTTGATGCATTCACATTATCAGTTGAAATTTCAGCAGGAAGGACTCCTGAATCAAGATGAGCTTTACCATCCATTCTACTTTCAATTACTTTATCACTAACCACATTTTGTTGAAATTTTCTTCCTAAAGGAAAGTTTAGTGTGCTTTCCATTGATGAATAGTCAGCTTCACTTTGTTCTGATGGTATGATACACTCAGTTTCAATAACTTTTGTCTTACAGCTCTCATTTTCATCTTCAGCAATCTCAACATATTTTCCCTGGAATTTTGATTGTAATTCGTAAGTTAAATTTATTTCATCTGGTACAGAACTTTTATTTATATCATTTTGCTCTAGATTATACTCAGATATATCTTTTACAAGTTCCTTATCACTTGCTGATAAATCTGCTTCAACATCTGACCATCTGTCAGAATCTTCTGTCAAAGTTAAATGAGAAGGGACATCAGTAAAATCATCTACTGAGCTACCAATATCATCAGAAACTGTACAGAAGTCTGATGTCTGATTTTCTGTCTCCAAGACAAAACTAGCAATGAAATAAGAATCCAAAAGTATTCCATTACTCAAATAATTGGCTTCTTCATCAGTACTGCAAACATCTTCTGTTTTCTCAACAGAAGCATCAATGTTTTGATATTCGTCAGATATACCACCTTCAACCATAGTAAGGATTTTCATGGAATCACTACATACAACTATTTCCTTACTTAGGGTATTTCTATTGGTATCAACTTCCACAATTCCCTTGCAGCTAGGATCATCTGTTTCTGCTAATATAACTTTCATTTCTTCATTGTGAACTTCGGATAAATTCAGTTCACGAGATATAAGAGTTACAGACACTGAAACGTCAGGTTTATAGGAGACCGATTCCTCAAAAAATGATGAAAATTTAAAATCAGCTATTAAATCTGACTCAGATGAATTTGGAGGAGTTTCATGCATGAGGATGCCTTCTTTTTTAGATCCATCAAGCTCAACATCATCTGTTTCACTTTCTTTATTCAGTTTCAAAAAATCATTAAATTTAGTCTCATTAACTGAGGTCTCATCTATTTTGGAATGATCTGATTGAAGTTTTTTAGACAGACTACAAGATGGAACACCATCAGTGCTTATCAGGACATCAGAAAATTTAAAATCAACTATGGAATCTACTTCAGATGATTTTGGAGGGCTTTCAGGCATAGGAACGTATTCTTTTTTATCAACATCAACAGCACCTGATTCAGACCTTTTGCCCACTTTTGCAGACTCTTTAAACTCAGTTTCTTTAATAGAGGTTTCATCCATTTTAGAAGGATTTAATTTGAGTTCTTCAGATAGCCTACAGACTGAAGTAACATCTGTGCGTTCAATTACTTCAGAGAATTTGAAATCAACTACTGAATCTGATTCAGGTATATCTGGCATAGAAACGCATTCATTTCTATATGCATCAATCTCAACATTATCTGATTCAAACTTTGTATCTACTTTCTCAGAATCTTTAAGCTCAATTTCTCTAACTGAGGTTTCATCAGTTTTAGAAGGATCCAACTTGAACTCTTTAGCTGAGCTACAAGGTGAAACAATACATGTGCTTTCAATAACTTCAGAAAATTTAAAATCCACTAGCAAATCTAATCCAGATGATTTTGTGGGATCATCATGCCCAGAAATACATTCATTTTTATATCTGTCAATCCCAAGATCACTTGATGTCTTTCTTACCAGTTCCATGGAATCTTTAAATTCAGCTTCTCTGACAGAGATTTCATCTGTTTTGAAAGAATCTGGTTGGAGGTTTTCAAATAGGCTGCAAAATGGAAGAACATCGATGCTTTCAGGAACCTCAGAAAATTTAAAATCAACTATGGAATCTGATTCAGCTGTTTCTGGAGTATTTTCAAGCATACAAATGCATTCTTTTTTGTACCCATCACTCTCAACATCACCTAATTTAATCTTTTTATCCAGTTTCACAGAATCTTTAAACTCAACCTCTTTAATTAATTCATCTATTTTGGAAGGATTTAATATCAGTTCTTCAGATAAGGTACAAGGTGAGACAGAATATTCACTTTTACGAATTTCAGAAAATTTAAAATCAACTACTGAATCTGGTTCAGATGTTTCATGACTTTCATGTACAAAAATGCATTCTTTTTTGTATCCATCAATCTCAAAATTGCCTGATTCAATCTTTTTATCCAGTATCCCAGAATCTTTAATTTCAGCTTCTCTAACAGAGGAATCTGTTTTGGAAAGATCTGATTGGAGTTCTTCAGGTGACCTGCAAGGAGGAAGAGCATTCATTTCAAAATTGCCTGATTCAATCTTTTTACTTAGTTCCCCAGAATCTTTAAAGTTATCTTCCCTAAATGAAGAGTGTGTTTTCCTAACTGAGGAATCTGTTTGGGAAGAATCCAATTGGAGTTCTTCAGTTAGGCTGCAAGCTGGAAGAACATTAATTGCAAAATCACCTGATTCAATATTTTTATCCAGTTCCCCAGAATCTTTGAATTCAGCTTCCCTTAGTAAAGAATCTATTTTGGAAACATCTGATTGCAGTTCAACTGGGCTGCAAGGAGAAATAGCAGTAATCTCAAAATCAATTGATTCAACCTTTTTAATCAGTTGTCCAGAATCTTTAAATTCAGCATCCCTAACTGAAGAATCTGTTTTTAAAGGATCTGATTGGAGTTCTCCAGCTGGACTATAAGATAAGAGAAAACCAGTCTCAAAATCTCCCGATTCAATTTTTTTATCTAGTTCACCAGAATCTTTAAATTCAATATCTCTAATTAAGGAATCTTTTTTGGAAGGATATAATTGAAGCTCTTCAATTGGGCTGCAAGATGGAAGAGGACAGTTCTCAAAATCACCCAATTCATTCTTTTTATACTGTTTCCCAGAATGTTTAAATTCAACATTCCTAGCTGAAAAATCTGCTTCTCTAATTAAGGAATCTGTTTTAGAAAGATCTGACTGAAGTTCTTCAGTTGGGCTGCAAGGTGGAATATCTCCAATCTCAAAATCACCTGATTCAGTCTTTGTATCTAGTTCCCCAGAATCTTTACATTCAGCTTCCCTAACTAAGGAGTCTGTTTTAGAAGGATTTGATAGGAGCTCTTCAGTTGGACTGCAAGGTGAAATAGCATTCAAGGTTTCTAGGCCTTCATAAAATTTTAAATCAACTACTGAATCTGATTCAGATGTTTCTGGAATACTTTCATGCATAGGCATGTATTCATTTTTATATCTATCATTCTTAGCATCATCTGATTCTCTTCTCTTATCCACTTCTACAGGATCTTGAAATTCATCTTTTCTGGCTGAGGTTTTATTTATTTCAGAAGGCTTTGACTGAAGTTCTTCAAAAGGGCTGCAAGGTGGAACAACATGTAGACTTTCCCGACCTTCAGAAGATTTAAAATCAACTAAATGAAGTTCTACAGACTTGGCATATTCATGACATTCAAGCAATTCTGATCTTTTCTTATTTAACTCCTGTATACTGTGTGTATGATTTAAGGATGCATCCTTTATTTGACTTAATTTATCAAAGGAAATTCCCGGTTCACATTTTTCTGATAATAGATTATCTTCATCTGTAGAGCCTACTAAATTTTCAAAATCTATTGTGTGAGGTTGATCTAATTTTGCAGGCTCAGTGCCCCCAATGAAAGATTCCTTAATATACTGCACAATTTCAGTTTCTTTCACAGTCAAATTTTGTTCAGAAACTTCAGTTTTAGCAACCATGGGAATCTGATCTTTATGGAAAATAAGACTTTTTTCACGATGTTCTTCAATGCTTTTACACTCTATTTCAGTCTCTTCTGTGTTACACTTCGGCAAAATGCTTTTATTACCATTCCCCAACACAGATTTTGCAGCAATTTCACAGGAATCAGAAGTTCCCTGTTCTGTTTTTTCTGATGAAGAAATGCCAGAGGGTTCAACAATATTAATCTTTTGCAATGTAAAATCAACTAAAGAATCAGTAGAAACTACAGGCATAGTTTTTGTGGGTTCAGCAACAGAAATTTGAGCCTCAGAAAATGATGCAATTTTTGGAAGATCATTTTGTAATTCACTTACTATTATTTCATCCTGAGTTTTACTACACACAACATCCGTTTTCATTGCTTCAGAAATCTGGACTACATGCTGACATGTAGCTCCAATGGGATCAGTATTAGGTAATTTGTTTATTTCATTCTCCTTGAAAGTATTTTGCAGGCATTTGTTAACAGTAAATTCTGTCTTTGAATCACCTTGACAAGTAAATGTTTCATCAGAAGATTTTTCATAAACAAGCCCTTGCTGTTTTTCAGAACTATATTCAATAACACTGCCAACTGATGTAGATTCAATAACTAATTTTACTTCACTATTGACTCCTGTATTAATTTTTTTTAAATCTTCATCAAGAGGTTCAACCTTTATCTCTTGTTGTGGTTCAGGTGTTACCAAATAAGAATTTGATACAATAGATTTCAAATTACCTGTATCTTCTTTTGAAGTTTCCTCATTAGATATAAAAGAAACATCCCTAATTGGTATTTTGGGTTTACAATCTTTTTGATGAATTATAGCATCTTCCACTTTTGCTGTTAGATTAGAATCACAATTTTCAGATTCAGAAGGTATGGTTTTTGTTAAAAATTCTTGTTCCATTGATTTAACATGACTATGACATAACTCAACCTCAGTTTCACATATAATTACCTCATTAGTTAGGTCTGCTTTGACAAGTTCTGGATATGAGCTTTCTGAACCAATTGCTGTCTGTGATACACTACCTTCAACAGCATCTTCAAAACTGTCTATATCTGTCTTTATGTTTGCACTTTTTATTTCCTCTTCTTTTCTTTCCAAATCAATTCCCATACTACTTAAATCAGCAACAGTAGATACAGAGTTTGATGATATTTCTGAAGCAGTCTCATAGCTTGAAATTGACATTTCAGCACTCTCAACAACTAGGGAGGTTAGCAATGGAATAATGGTCTCCTTTTCTTGCTCATTTTCTATTGTAATTGGAATATTTTGTTGGATGTTCTGTTGTCCTAAAATATTCTGTTCACTTACCTCACCCACTATTATACCAGATGAAATGATCTCTTTAACATTAAAAGTTTCAATACTTTCAGTTTCAACAGGCACTGCAATATTCTCTTTGATTTCTTCAATTTTAAACTCGTTGTTAGTAGAATCAGTCATAACTTCTCCACTGCATTTAGACCCATGAACTTTCATTTCAGTATTTTCAGCTTTTCTTACTTCAACTGTTTCTTCTTTCATACCACACACACTTGCAGTTTTCAAACTAACATTTAAATCTTTTTCTGATTCAGAATATTCTTGCTTTGTTTCAGAAAACTGGAAAAGTATTTGTTCTTCAACAACACATGTTTCACTCACCTTTTCTTCAAACACAGCATTTTCTTCTGTTGAAGCTGCATCTGTGAAGTTATAAAAATTGTGTTCACTTTCTATATAAAATTCAGTTTCTTCATCTTTGCATGAAATAAATTTCAATTCTGAAATACTACTTGTGTTAGACTGATCTAACTCAATATCCAGACATATGTTATACTTTTCAATTGCCTGAGCAGCATCACATGAATGTAAGAGCTCCTCACTAGATGTATCTAGAGAAGTTGAACAAATTTCTGAATTCAAAGATTCTATTCGTTTCAGTTCTGGCACAGCAATAACTTGACTTGAAGCCAAAGGTTTTTCAGTGACAGAAGCAGGTTCAAGATTAATGTGAGAAACAAATGCTGCTGTTTCATCCAAAAAATATGCAGGCATAACTTCAGTAACATTTCCATTTTCATCTCTAACTAAAACTGGTTCAATGTTCTTCATAGCTTGGTCTTGAATGGCAGAGATAGATTTTGAATCAGCATGAATTTCATTATATGCACAAGAAACGGAATCTAATTTAATAGTTTCTTTCAGATTATTTAAATTTTCAATGTTCTGCAAGGCAATATCATTTTCTCTTCCATACACTACTTGTTTCAGCTGCAAAGTTTCAAGTTCTGAAGACTGTATATCTGGAAAACATTCATCATCTGAAATATTCAGAGAATTATCATTTTCAATGTCAGAAAATTTATCAGAATCATCTGTCATAGTGAAATGTGTTGAAATATCGGTTACTTCATCCACATCGGGTTTAATGATAGCCTCTTTATTTGGATCCTGGTTAAGAATAAAGGCAGGAATACAAGGTAAACTGCTGTCCTCTGTGGTCATGGTCAAACATTCTCCTCTTTGATCATTTTTCAGAACTTTTTCAAGTTCATTATGAGAAAATGAGGCATTTACTTCAAAAAACTTCTCAGAACATTCTGATTTATTGGATGAATGAATGGAAACAAAATTATCATCCTCAGCAGAAAAAGCAGTATCTGACTCAATTTCTTGCACTGAAAACTTACTTAATGTGGAATCTAAACTAGCAGTTTTGAATTCAGTCTGTACTTTTGGATCTTCAAATTCTCTAGGTGCCTTACTGGTTTCAAGTAAATTTTTATCTTCACATGAAGTAGTTAAATGGACAGCATCAGATAAAATTTCTTCTTTAGCAGTTGCTATTAAATCAGCAACTTCAGGCAAATTTTCCTCTTTATCTGAAATAACTCCTGCCGCATTTGTATTGAAATCAATTTCTTGAATAGGTGTATCAGGCCTGTCATTTTCAGTCTGAACAGAATCACTCTGTTTTTCACTGAAAGATATTGAATCATCATAATATAAATATCGCACTACATCTGATGGAACATGAGGTAATTCAAAAGTTGAGCTTTCCTTTAGAGGATCAGACTCTTTTATATCAGAATGCTCAGCAGTTTCGGGTATTTCTGAACTTTTACATTTGGAATTGCTTAATTCTCTAACAGATATTTTATTTGCTTCAGAACCATTTTCAGATGCTGGATAATATTCAGATACACTTTCAGATAAAATACTTTCTTCAGTGTCTGATATTTCAAAAGTTTCAGTAATGTCAGAAAAAGATAGATAATCAGATTCTTTGCTGGAAGAAAGAGATTTTAAAGAATATTCTACTGAGTCCAAACAACATTCTGATGGTTCTTTCTCAGCAAGAGTCTTTAAGGCACTCCCTTCCTTATCACCTGAGAAAGATTTAACAAATTCAGCTACACTGATGTCAGATTCATCACTTGAGATAAAGCTTTCTGAAATATTTTCATTTTTTAAACCATGCTTCGAATTTTCCTCATTCTCAGGCTTGGATGAAATACTTGCTTGATTTTCAATACTTATTTTTACATTATCAGCTGAAACTAAATCTATACTTTCATTGGTTGGCTTATCAAATTCATTTTCCTTAGAATAAACCGCAGACGATTCAGAATAGCCTAAAGTAAATTCAATATTTTCAGAAGAAACTTCTCTTAAAGCATCAGAAATTACAGGCGATTGTTGATGCTCTTTTTTTACAGAAGATATTTCAGGTTTCATTAAGGAAACAGATGTAAGGGAAGTTTCACATATATTAACAATAGAGGAATATCCTATTTCATTAACAGATTGCTGATATTCTTCCTCCTGCAGTAAATAGTGATCTCCAGCTGTAACAAAATATTCTGAGATACTATCATCATCAATATTTGATGATGAAGCAGTATCCCTGGATCCCATTTCTTTTTCTGGTACACCCTCTAGTTCAGTAAAACTTGACTCTAATTCCATGAAAACATCTGTAGTTTCTTCACTAAGCAAAAATGGATCAGAATATTCTGAAAGTTCAGTTTTTTCCTCACTTAATTCAGAGCAGGTTTCAAAAAAATATTCAGATGTTTGAGAAGATGGTTCAATGCTAACAGATGGTGGCAAAGGACCATAAAAATATTCTACAGTTGGTGTTTGCACAATATTTTCTTCAATCAGACTATAAGATGATTGCTCAGAAATACTGTCCTCCACATCAACAAATTTCAAATCATCTTCAAAAGAAGATGTTCGTTGTATAGAAATAGGTGTAATTGCTCTTTCATCAAGTTCAGAAGGCTGAAACATTGATTCAGTTGGCAAAACTGTTGCAGTTTTTACATTCAATGATTCAGAAAACAAAAATGTGTCAACAGTTGATTTGGAAACTGAAGATTCTTTAGAAAACTGATATGTTTCTTCAGTTTGTTCAGATGCTACAGTTGATTTGGAAAGCTCAAATGTTTCTTCCTCTGATTTAAAGTTTTCTGATGATTTAAGCAACTTGTATGTTTCATCAGTTGGCTTTAAGATATCAGACAATTCAGAAAACTGTGAAGTTTCTTCTTTTGAAATAGAAGTTTGAGGTACATGTTTATTTTGTAACAATTCATGATCTTTTCTTTCCATCATATCTGCAGAAAATGAAAGAGTACCAGTTATATTTTCTTTGACTTTTGAATCACTTGTATCAGTGCAACTCTTAGCGCTGAGAAATGGAGGTTTACTGGAATCAGTAGATAGTCCCGTTGAATCAAACAATGATTCTTCAGGAGATTCTTTCTCATCAGAGTCTTTATCATCAATGTCAGGATCAGGAACAGTTTCTGAAAAATTAGATTTTGGAATTTTTAGTTGGATTTCATCTGTATTCAATTCTTTTTTATCATTATCTTCAGTGTAAAGAACTGAAACAGTTCCTGAAAAATCAGAAGATTTTGGAATTTCTAGCTCAATTTTATCTGCAAACAATTCTTTTTTATCAGAGTCTCTATCTTCAGTGTAAGGAACTGAAACAATTTCTGAAAAATCAGATTTTGGAATTTCTAGCTGGATTTCATCTGCATTCAGCTCCAGCTCTCTATTAACAGGTAATCTTTCATCCTGTTTATGCTTCATATTAAATCTTTTGCAAGAATCAGCACCAGAACTAAATCCTGTGTCAGAATCAATATCAGCAAATAAAAAGTGGCTTTTTCTTTTAGTAACTTCATCATCAGATGAATGCGATTCCAGAAAAATATCAGAATCAGTATCCTCAAAAGATTCACAACTGCTATCTTCTATTTCTTTTACTTCTTTTATACAAGTGTCTTTCTTTGCTATATCAGCAAGATTTGTGATGTCATTTTGTGTACAAGGAATATCAAAAGCAGGGCTTCCTATTGATAAACTACTTGGAATTGATTCTAAATACCGTTTGATAACAGAAAGATTATCATCCTTATTAATCATATCACACTGAATACCAATATCTTCAGTATGTAATGGTTTACTGCTAACAGAATTTTTTGGTTCAGTATTTGCCTGGGTTGATTCAGAGCTTTCCAAGTTTTCATTTACTGTTACTGTTTGGCAACTAACATTTACACATGGTTCAAACATTGGATCAAAATATACTTCTGTAATATCTTTAGGCTCCTCATATTTTACAATATCAGAATTATCTTCTTGTGTTTCAGTGACAGATTTTACTCCTTTACTTATTACTTCTGCTTTGCTATAACTAACATTTGATAATTCAAGCTCTAAACTATAATTTTGCTTAAAAATTGCATCTTCTAATTCTACAGTTTTAAGAAAAGTTTCATTTTCATCTGTAGGTAATGCATAGTTATCAGACAATAATTCTGAATCTGCAGTTACTTTTGAAGGTAAGCAATCTTCTGTTTCACTTGCATTACTTGAATTTGATCCAGACGACTTGGAATCTTTGTAATCTGCATAGTAGGTTTTGATATCATATTGAATTGGAGATTCTTTACAGGAATAAACATTTTCAAACCATTCTTCATAAAAATGGGACATTAAAGATGTACAAGATATTTCATTATCCTCATCAGTGGAAACATGACCTATATTTTCAATTTTATATTGAACATCTTCATCTGATGTAATTACAAAGTCATTTGTTTCTGTCTCCGAAAAGCTGAGAGGTACATTTGGTAAACAACTGGGAGTATCTAATTCAGAGTGTTCTGTTAAATTTTCATGTGAAAATTTTATATCTGTATTAGAAGCTTCTTTACTTTCAAAAACAAAATTCGCTGCATTTGCCTCGGCTTCAACTATGGACTGAGTCAAAATATCAGAATAATTTCCATCCCCCTTAAATTGTAATTCATTAGCTTGGAATTGTTCAGGGAAAATTTTAGAAATTTGATTTGCCTGTGGAAAAGTTACACTTTCCTGTGAAATATTCTGTGGTAGATTTGCATCAACACTAGTCAGATTTTGAATGTCAGACTGAGAACTGATTTCATCCTCTAGATCTTTAATATGTACATCAGATGAAACAGCAATTTGAGTAGAAACAGAAGAATCAGTTGATATTATCAAATTATCATCTGATAAATCAAAAGATTCTTCAGTGCATTCTTTTGGGATATAAATTTGACCATTTCCTGCATCTCTGACATCTACAGAATTGTCATTTTGAACAAACCATGCACATGATTCCAATGATGGCTGGACAGTAGTAGTTGGTAAATCAATAATATTTGCATTTGAATCTGTAATATTAAAATTCTCATCATTAACAACATCTTCATTTGAAATGTCAGTAACATTTTGCTTTTGTTTTTCAATTAATGCATTACTTGCATCTGATAGTTTATCATTAAATTTTAAGTCTATTTCTTTACTTTGTTTAGACGATGCATCATCATCATGTGAAACTTTAGTACAAAGGTCAGCCTCACTGGAAATTACAGAGAAAGAAGTTTCATATAAAGTATTTCTAGTACTTGCAGTTGCTAGAAATTCATTATCTGCCTTAAATAACTTGTTGCCTTCTATTAATTCACTATTATATAATTGGATAGGTTCTTCTGATTGTTCAAAAATAGATTCAGTATTACCCACTTTTCCAATTGATGTTTCATTTTCACTTCTTCCTATATGTGTTAACTGCACTCCTTCTAGATCAGAAATGTGGTCAGCGCTATATATTTCTTTACTTTCTAATGCCATCTCATCAGATGACTGATCTACTTCTTTTAGCTGGTCATAAATAACAGTATTAGTATTTTCAGTTTCAGCACAACCCATAAAAAAAGACTTTTTCTTATTGGAGATATTTTCTGTAGTCTGATTAGAAGCTTGAGTGTTATTTTCAATAAAACTAGCATTTAAAGAATTCTTTCTTTCCTCATTAAGCTTCCATTCTTGTTCGCTGCAATCAAATGGCTCTTTGTTGTTCTTCAGTTTATTATTTTTTATTCCATTATTCATTAAATCATCAATATTTGTTTCAAAACAAGTAGAACGAACATTAGGTATTCTTTCAGGATGCATTATAAATTCAAACTTTTCCTCTTCATTACAATGCTCATCAAAGAGAAGTGGCAATGGATAATTATCTCTTTCATCAAATACTGTGGGTTCATTTTCAATCATCATTGACTGTAGTTCAGAACTTTGACTGGGCTGATTGACACTATACGAAACCACATCAGAAAGGTCTTTTACTTTTTCTTCTGGAGCATATTCAGAAAGGACTTCTGTCCTTAGATGCAAAGGAGCTCTCTCAGTTACTTTACATGATGACTTTTCTTCGTTATTTAATCCAAAACCATGTGAAGTATCCAAATCATCATATGCACAAGTTAATCCTGGGCATATATCTGAAATTATTTGTTTTTCGATAGCTTCCTGAATTTCAGTAATTTCACTAGTTAAATTGTCTGTCTTGCTTTCAGCTTCAAAATTATCATCACTTTTGCCTTGCAGATCAGTTCCAGGGATAAATGAAACACCAGGTGATGATTCTTCTTCAAAAGATTCAAGAATTTCTCCAGTTTTTTCATAACGGAAATTCTCATTTAAAGTGATATCAGGTTTACTTTCTATATCAGAAGTGCATGTTGAAAACATATCTTCAGTATAAATATTCTCTTCAGTTGCAGTAACATTGTTAAATTTCTGCTTCCTAGAAATCTCAGTTAGATTATTACTTAAAGAATCATGTTGAATATCATCATATGGTGAAAAATGTGACTCATTTAATTGCAAATTTTTATCACTTATGTTCAAATTATCATGTTTTAAAGTATTTTCTTTTAATTTTAATAATTCAACCGATGTCTGATCTCTAATCTCAGAGGACACAATACTCATGCTCTCTCCATCAGGATATGGTAAGGAATCAGAGGATAAATGAGAAGGTTCACAATCTTGTTTCATTTCGAAGTCCTTAGTATGGGATGGAAGTTTTTTTTTATCCATGGGCTTTGAATGAGAAGCCAAATCATACTTTCCAAATAAATATTCATCAGCAGAAGACAGAGAAGTTGGAAGATCAGAGTTTTGTTGAGATTGCAATTGACAATGGGGCCTATTCTTCCTTGGAGGGGGAACAACAGGAGGTTGGGTTTCCTCAAAATGAACAGTCTTAATTTTGCTACTTTTTTTATCACTAGAAGAGGAATCCACTTTATCCTTTCCTATATCATCAAGATGAAGAGTACTCTGAGCAAGAATAAATTCATCATCATCATGAGTACTATCACATGTTGAAAACTGACCAACATCAGACATATTTAAAGGCACAGAAGAACTTTGGTTGCTACTAGTAAATAATACTTCTTGTGCAGGCTCAAAAATATCTTCTGAAACTGATGTATCAGGAGCAATTGTTGGCATAGGTGGAACAGTAGAAATCTGAGAAGTCGTTACAGTTTGAAAACTGCCAGGTCTCCCCAATGCAGAACTTGGAGTAGCTTTAGGTTTAGAAGATACAATGCTCCCTTTCTTCTTACTTTTTTTTGGAATGACTACTTCATTGTAAGATCCAAAAAAGTAGTCTTCAGCAAATGGTAAATATTCTGCTGTGGTAGGTTCCTTTGGTTGAGAAATATCCTGAGGACTTGGCTGTTTTTTCTCTGTCACAGTGGTTACTTCTTGGAAACTTTGTGACTCTGGAACAGAAGTATCACTTTTAGAATCTGGACTTTTTACTGTTGTTGTAGAACTCTGATCTAACTGAGGTGAAACTTTTGGAGTAGGAGCAACACTTATATCACTAGAAGACATAGCTTTAACAGTCGATTTGATGGTTTTAACAGCTGTCTTTTTCTTCGGCCTCGTGATAGTAACTTCATTATAGCGACCAAAGAAATAATCAACAGCTGCTGACATCCCTTCCATTTCGGTAAAAGCCATTTCCTCTTCTTCCTCTTTAATAGAAGGATGTATATAATTTTGTACAAAATCAATAGACTGAGAAGTATCAATCTTATCTCTATCATCCTTTACAATTTGAACATTTTCTTCAGTCTGAAGTTTTGCAGCATCTATTAACTCTTCCTCATGGCCCTGATGTTCGATATGCTGAAGCAAATGGGCAATATGATAATCACCTCTTTCAGATGAATATTCACTTATCTGTGGTCTGACAGTAGAACCTTCAGTTTTGGATATTGTTTCATTGTTATCAGGTATTGTTTCATTGTTACTTCTTTCAAATGGTGCATAAGTTTCTGGATGTACTTGTGGGTAATCAAGCTCAGTCTCTTGACTTTGCCCTGAAAGTAAAGAGGAATGGTTAGGAAATTTATCAGAGACCATGTTCATGCTATCTTTAGCATTTATAAGTTCAGAATCAAGTTTCTGAGTAGATATATTTGCTTCATTTGTTGGTGCTTCTTTACTACTAGATCTAAATAACTGTAAAGGTCTAGTAGTATCCTCTCTAAATGCTTTAGGTGACACAACTTCGTCAAGCTCAACAATACGAGAGCCTCGAGTTCCTACAGGTATAGGTAATTCAGGATTGAATTCAGGATATTTAATGATGCATTCTGCTTCACCAGAGAATACATCTGCTTTTGGACTATGAAGTAATTCCTTAGCAGCAGTGGAAGTAGTTTGATCTAAAGAACGTGATTTTTGCAATTTAGTAACTGGGTAACTTTCTTCAAGGAATTCAAAATCATTTTCATACTTAGATGATTTCTTATGAATTTTCTGCCTTACAGCTTTGATTTCTTCATCAGATTCAGAATCAGCAAAGAAGTTTGAATCAGATTCATTAGATACTGAAGTCAATGGAGATCCATCTTTGGATGCTACCATATTCACAGACAATTTGCCATCAGCTTCATTTTCATTAGTTTCAAATGGAAGAGAGGGAATCATACTGAGTCTTGGTGGTTTCTGAGGTGCAGGAAGAATAAGAGTTTCCTTTGATTCTTCTGCACATACAATACCTTTTTGTTCAGCTTCTTTACTTATACATTCAATGCTGAAATTTTGATTTTCTTCTTCTACTTTAGCTTTAAGCTTTTCTGGCACAGCATAAAGATCACTTACTACTATCTCTTTGTTCTTAGTTTTAACAGGAAGAGCAGGTGGTATATCAGCTACTGATTTTAATTCATTATCATTTATTGGCTGACTTTTCAAAGCTTGTTCAATAGTAGCAGCATTTACTTTTGATTTTCTTCTAACAGGTGGTTTTGGTTGTTCAGATTTCTGAGAACTAGGTTTTTCAACAATATCATGGGTAAGCTGCTGATTTTTACTCTCAGCAACATCTATATGACCCACTGAAGCTACTGGCAAATCTGATACTTTTGTTGATTCATTAGCAGCAGATATATTATCATTAATCTCACTTGTTTCAGGAAGAATATTATCAGAACTCAAATCCCTCTGGTTAAAATCAATTAAAATATCTTCATCTTTCCTATTGATATATTTTACAGAAGACTGCTCTATGCTTATATCTTTTAAAATATCTTCCTCGGGAGTTTCTTGCTCAATTTTTACTTTCTTCATGCCTTGCTCAAGAACACTGATTGTAGTCTGCTCAATCAGTTCAGATACCTGCCCATCAAAATCGACCTTCTCCCATTCACCATCACTATTTTCACTCATATGAGGTGAAACATCTAATCCAATGTCACTACATCTTTTTGTTAATATTTCATCATCAGATTTTATATCAGTAAATGGCAGTTTTTCCTCACTTATATTAATTTTGAATTCACTTTCAAGAACTGCATTGCTCATTTGTAAGTCAGCCTCCAAATTAGTCTGAAGGTCAACCCAATCAGGTTCTGGATTACTTAAATCAAACTCGGTACGATAGTGCTGAAGAGTTGAACCAGCTCTTGGAGGTTCATCAAGCTCAACACTCTTTGAAAAACTTGTTTCAGTTAAGATCTTTTCATCTGTCATTTTTTCACTAACCTGATCCTCCTCAGGTTCAGATAAACTTTTCTCAAGATTAATCTTTACCCATTTTTCAAATTTTTCATCAGTTTCCGCTTGCAGTTTTTCAGCTTCAGTTAAAGGTAAAATTTCTTTAGAATCATCTTCAAAAACGTCATCTTCCAATTCTTCTTTCTCCCACAAAGCGGCCATCTGCATTGCTTCTGCTTCAAACTCTTTTTCCATCTTATCATATTTCTTTTGAAGTGTAATCCACTGACTGTCTCCTTCCTCATCCCACTGTTCATCAGAATACTCTTCTATCCACTCACCTTGTGAATCAACCCAGTTTGCATCATAATCTACAGGAATATTATCATCATTTCCAACTTTCTTCTCAGGTTCAGAAACATTATCCATTTGTCTGTCTAGCTGAACTTCCTTAGTTTCAACGTGATCTTTACTGGTAAGATTAGAAGTAGTATCTTCAGTAGATTCTTGGTGAGACAGCTTAAGATTTTCAGTTGATGACTTTACAGATTTCTCTTCATCTGTTTTTAAGCCTGAAGTTTCACTTACTAAAGAAATAGGATATTCTTGAACGATACTTTCACGAATCAGTTCCTTTTCTTCCCTAGCTTTTCTTCTTTCACTTTGAGCTTTTCTAATAGCTGACAATTTCGAAAGAAAATCTGATTTCTTCTTCTCCATCCTGGATTCTCCAGGTATATCTAGTCTGCCAGTTTTTACAGGAGAAACTGCAACATTATGTTCCAGACTTACATCATCAGCTACATTATATAAGTTCAAGTCTTCACTGTCTTCACTAAGTCCAGGACTCAAAATAAACTTGTGCCTTCTACCAGCTGCTCGAACTAAATCTGCGTAAGCAAGTTCAACATTCCCTTCATTATTTTTCAAAGCATCAGCAATCTGCTTTTGGGTAAAATTTCCCCTGACAGTAAGCTCCAAAATCTAAATTAATAAGCATAAAATTATTTTTAAATAATTTATCTAAAAAATATCACCTATATTTAACAACAAAAGAAAAAAGATAAATATAAAAACTACTACTGCTTTTTAATATAGTATACACAAATAAATTACACACATGAATTGTAAAACTGGTTGCATAAGCTTAATGAATAGCAAAAATAGCTATATTTTAAATACAAAGTAGTTTATGGATATTAATATTTACATCAGGCATGCAATAGTTTTCAAATTTGAGATAATCTTTTCCTTTTTCTCAGTTTTCTTTCTCTGAAATTTTGAATTCATTTGATATGCTAGCCTTTAAATCAGCAAAGACACAACCAATGTTTTAAGTAATATTTCACTAATTCGCAAATAATTCACTACAGAGTTTCTAATTTAATATTTTCCTATTTTCTTGATGAGTGATTATTGACAAAATTTTCTCTTTTTTACAATTTTGACTCATTCAATATGCTTTAGTTAAACTGAGAAGTTATTAAGAGATTATTAATCTTGAGTATAAGGTTATATCTTTATAGCTACTCTATTTTAAATTTGTTTTGCAAACATTAAGACAAACATTTTAAATCCATAAAATGGCTAAAATATAAATATTCAAAGAACTGTTAACGAATATTCAGAAATGAAACATTATGAATTTCTTATGTAAACAATCTTCTTATTTAAATGAAGATGTGTCTTTAGACAAGCTGATTTTATGCAAGCCAGAACTTTCCTTGACATTTAACCAACAATTTTAGTTATGAGTGTTTAAAATCGCGAAAGAAAAAAAAGATGGTACTTATTGGTTACCTAGTCTCTACTAGTATATAGTAAAAAACACCGCCAGCAATCCTGATTCTTGCAAGCATTCAGCAACCCTAGAAACTGTTTTTGGTCATTTTACAAACATATTTTGTTAATCTATGTTCTCTCTCTTTTGGGGGATAAGGCAAGTTCCTCTCTCTCTCTTTTTATTTATTTTAATTTCAACTTCAATGTTCTCACATAAACAATGGAATGTATGCGAGAATCAGCAAAATAAAACTCATAAGAGCAAGGTAGTACAGCTTATCATGGCTTGTCTCATTATTTATCAGGATTGACATAGAGACAAACTGCAGAAAATGCCAGTCTGTTTGAGGCCATTTGAAACAACATTTGCCAAAAATCAAAAAGCTAGAATTTATCACTAAAAGGCACCAAGAGATGATTTGCAGTTTATTAACAGCTGTCAAATGTAATTAAAAATCCCATTGCCATATAAATAATCTTTTACATGATTCATTCAAGTAAAAGATATGATTCATTTTATATGAAATATATGAATTATATATTCATATATATGAATATGAAATATATGAATATATAATTTCATATGTATATTTCATATATATTTCATATGTGAATATATGAATTAAATTATTCAGATATGAATGTTATAATAAAATTATTCATACATTTCTTAAGAAATATACAAATTATACATCATTTTATATGAAATTAATAATTTATACGATTCATTTTATATAATACATATTATCATTTCTAATTTCATACAAAAGTTTATAAAAAATAAGTATAATTATATGTTAAAAAATTAATACCAGAGTTAATACAAACAGTTTGAAAAGAAAAAAAAGCCCTATATAATATCCTAGTAGAGATTCAGCATTGATTAGTACCTATAAGAATCTTATCATAAATATTCACAGTAGCAGTTCACTAATTTTAAATACATTCATTTAATTAATTATTAATTTCATTTAAAATTATAATAAAGTGAACTTTATATGTATTTTATTATATTCTGCAGGTTATTTTTCACTGCACATATTGTTTCGACCTGAGTTATTGAGCAGTCTTTTTTCACAGGAAACAAAAATATTTTATTTTGTCATGTTTGCACTGGACAACAGAATTTACATTAAATCAGATAGTAGTTTATATATTTTAATAATTTCTTAATATAAATATTTAGAAATAGCCCAATAAGGAAACAATCTATCACTTCGGATGAGTTCTTTGTTTTTATTTTTACAACTATCTTAATTCTTAATTTTTCACTTAAAATTATATCCCTCTATTTACCTTAAAGTCTGAGAAAAAGGGAAAGGAAAAGCTTGTTATAGTAAAATATCAATTATCAAATCATTTCCATCAATGGAAAACTCCAAAGTTTATTTTGAACATGATGAATTTTGTACTTTCTGTAAGATAAGATATTTGTTTTTACCCTTTCGGTATGGAAGAGCTAGCTGTGGTTATATATTCATGGTATGAGAAAGATTTTCCACGAGAGTGGTTACACTGTACAGCAGCGTAAGCTGCGAACACGTGTTTTGTGGCCTTCATATTCAAAAAATGAAAATTTCATTTAAATTTCAGAAATGAAAAGCAGTGATCTCTACTCATAATTTCACTGAAAATATCTCTTCGGAGAAGCTTATCTTTAAACCAATATTCCTTTAAGGATAACTTTTTGTTTTGCGTCATTAATAGTGATGCAGTAATGAAACAATATAATTAGTTCAATATCATTCCTTCTAAAACCTCCAAGTGATCCTTTTTAAGTTGTCAATATCAGTAGTTGTTTGTTTTTCCCACGACAAATTGAATTAAATCTTCAGAAAAAAGCAGTCGGAAGTAATGTAATATTCTCAACGAGTGATTTAAATTGTTTCATACTACTCTCGAATGTTGTGGTGTAAAATCATAAAATTTTCGGCTAAACTTCTAAAGAAGTCCATTTGATACCAGAAGGAGTATCAATTCAAATTTCAGGTTCTCCTGTTTCTCAGATTCCGAGGTGCTAAGCATATGTACAGGACTGTTTTTCTTCCTTTTGTGAAGTGCTAAATCCTACTCATTTCCTTCATCAGAATCATTTCTGAATCAATTGTTTCCTTTATTCGTTCTCCTTTCAAATGTTTCACACTTATCCTGATCGGATCTAAATTCAAAAATTGTTAAATAAAACATTAAAAAAATGTACAATATAAGCAAACATACCAATTTGTTTACCATAGCTTATCTACTATATATTATAGAACATATATAATTAGTGTGTGCTGTTGATTATTACTAATCATATAATGGAATGATTAAAGCAGATGGCAATTTTACTCGCACAATCGTAAAGTAATGTGTCACACACAAAGTAATGCATACTGGAGAGAGTAATCATACCCACATAACTTTCCATGCATGGTTTCATGACTGCCAACAGTACCCAGACAATAGTTTCATGGCTGCCACCAAAAGGTGGCAGGAGTACCCAGACAACATTTGGCGGAAATACCCAAACAACATTTCGTGGCAGGAGTACTCAGAGAACATTTCATAGCCATCGACAATTTGCAGCAGTAGTACCAAAAGGGTAAATATTACATCCAGAGTTAACTAAGAATTCCACACTTCTAGTTCATCATTCCAGAATGTAACTTAAATTTTATAACAATACATGTTTTTTTTAATTTAGTCATAACGGCATTCAGCACAGTTTTTAAAATATTGAATTAGCATTTTTGAAGCATATATATGATCCACTGAAGTTGATGTTTTTTTTGGGGGGAAAGCATTTGCTTTTTTGGAAGCATCTGCTTCAGCAGCTTCATGAGAAATTCAGAAACAATTTTGGGGAAGTGTACAGTTTCTTGGCATGTTGAAATCCTTGTTCCACTTTAGAATCAGTCCCATTTGAAATACTGACATCCTTTGTAACATTGTATATGATTTAACCTTCTAAAACCGGGCCGAAATTCTCATAATATAGCCTTCAGACCGGTGAGATCCGAAACAGTTGAGCCTCCTCTTTGACATTTTCCTAATGAGAAAAGTCGTTAGTCCCCCTCCATGGATGAAGTAAAATTTACATGTTTGTCAGACTCTTATGTCCCATAGTAGAGGGGTTGCTAGATTTGCGATTTTTTCGATAATTATTTTGCTTTCATTTAAATGAAGTTCTAAATAAATAGTGCATAAATAAATATGCAGTACTAGATGCATATCCAGTGCACAATTTATTTAGAACAAAATGTATGCATTGTTTATATTTCACTCACTATTTCTGATCAATCTCGTAAATAAATTCTCGTCTGGCCGAAATTTTATACAATGTAACTGATGTTTTGATTCAATTTAGAAGTAATGTGAGCTTTACTGATATTTAAATACTTTTTGGCAGATCTCATCCTAAAAGAGAGTCTAAAGATAAATTGATTTTATTTAATTTACAATCAATGAAAATCGTTGAAAGCAATCACTGAATGAATGAAAATCACAAAAACTATTATGCATACAAATGTCTCTTATTATCTCCTGATAAATCAGACAAAATTGCCTACATAATAGAAGCACTTTGAAAGAGTTAACAGTTCTTAAGGGTTTTATGCACTCCACAAAAAAATGTCAAAATAAAATCTTATTATTCATAAGTATGAAAAGGAAGATATTGGCATGAGACGAAACCTGCGGTTTTTGCCAAAATGTAGCCAAACTGATAAGAAGAGGGAAATAATGCAAAGCCAGCGGCTACTCTGAGCAACGACAATGGACCACCCAGAGATCTACAGATAGGCGATTCTCTAAAATAGGGAGGGCATGGATGGTACGACCGTTGTACCAATGCCTGCATCAGAGAAAGTCATTCTCCTGGTTACCAGCCGGCTTCAGAAAGTTAAATAATCTTTTATATAAGCATCCCCAGAAGTAGTTTGGTTTACAAATTGAAATTTCTGCTAATAACATACAAAATATTATGCAGATCAGCTTTGTATTACTCTATAAAATAAACCCATATTTCAAATAAAAAATCACAAAAGCCATGTTTGACAATTATTTTATACTGTATGCATGCCATTCACAAGTATATGACCAAGCAATAGTAGTTTTAAAGCCTGCTCATTAGTTCGTTAGCTCTGTATTTCCAATACCAATGAAACAAATTGTTTTCTTCTGAACAAGATTTATTTTAATAAAAGATTTAAACAAATAACCATATTAAACATTAAATATACATTACACTAAATTTGTTTACTAAATGACATTCACAAAAGCAAAAGTTTTAAATAAAAAATTACTTTTCTTTGCCTCTTCTCGATACATTCTGTAACAGCATCCCATATATCACCCCTATGGATGCGCAGAGCTTCTTTGGCTTCAGAAGCTGTGACAACACCAACATCATTTTCCTCATTATCCTCACCATACTTGGCAGCTAGAGCAATGACATTTTTTATCATAGAAGACCAATTATCTTCAAGCCAAATAACAGGATTTTCTCTTCCGCAATGCAAGTATGCAACATGCAGATCTTCAAGGCTAAATCCACATCGTTCAGCTTCCTAAAATAATGATAATATTAACAATATTTTTAAAAAAAGGAATAATTTCAGAAATTTTAGAAACAAGAATATTCAGCCTCAAAATCCTATTATGCTTAGTAAAAACAGAACAGAGAAATAACAGCAGTATTATCATAGAAACAATAACTTTACAACAGTCTATAAAAAATATACCCTTATAATGAATTTAAAATTGCTTTCTGATAGTTAATGACAATGAAATGATTGAAAATTATTTTATATTTTTCATAATAATAATAATACATAAATAGCATAAAACATTTCAGTATATTTTGTTATTACTATCTGCTATTAAAAATTTAGAAGCTATACAATGAAAAAAAAATTATGCTACATATAAAAACATTTTATTTTTCAATCAATATTTTTTAGAAAAAATTCTGAGTTCACCTCACACTTTTGTGCATCAGCATGCTTTTTTTTCATGCATTAAATAAGTTGTAGTTTTCACATTAAGTACTAAGCCTTAAGCACCCAAATTATTGTTATATATTCAGTTTAATAGCAACCATTAAATAAATAAAACAGGCTTCAACCCTCCAAGTGTTACAGGTTTAGCCCAGAAGTTTCAAAGTTCTTCAGAATGTCATGAATGAATGGTATTTTCTTGATTATAATTAAAAAAAAAAAAAAAATCATTTTGTACTTTGATTTCTTATCTCTCAATATACATCTAACCCGAAACTGGATACATTAAAAGCTGGCAGAAATTTTCATATGTAATCAATAAGAAAGTCACCCTTTTATATGGAATACTACATCCATAATGCTGACAGGATTAACAAAGAACTCACAGAAATATGATTTTCAGTTCTCAAGCTTGAAATATTTCTAAATCATGGCTATGTCTCATTATCATTCAAAACAACAATATATATATATTTTTTTAGAGAATGGAGCACCATTTATATATTTTTTACATTTATAAGTCATTCTATCTTGATCGCAATTCAGTCCTATCTATTTTAATATTATAATATTTCTTTTATATGTCACATAACTTCGGTTATACATTGTTTTTGCTTATTATTGCATCGATTTTACATTTTGCAGTCATCATGTTCAAGTATTCTTCCCAGAAATGGGGATGGAAGAAGGAAACAAAGGCATGAGATGTCATAGTCTAGTACAGAAATTAAAAACCATTTCATGAAAGAATGGATGTTTGGAAGGAAGAATTGATAATTCCAGTTAATTATTGATTTTTCCAGTTCTGAGATGGTGTGTGGTGAACCAGATGGAGCAGAATTAACTGATACAAAATGTCATGAAAGCAAAAGGCACTCTCGTTACAAAATAAGATTAAAATCGTATAAGAATGTGATAAGAATACTTATTTGACGAAAGTTGATTTAGCAAAGAAACTGGCTATTCCTGTAACAACACTAAAAAAGGGTTATTTCTGACAGAGAATATGTTGAAGAAGGAGCAACAATTTATGAACAGCCCACTTCAAAGAAATTACATGTTCAATATAGAAAGCTTCCTGACATCAAAGCCATTTTGCTAAAATTTTTCATTCAATGCCATGCGTTTAGTGGATTGCCCATGTTTAATCGAGAAGTCAAAAGAAATAGTGCTTCAAATTAACGTGAAGGCAGCTTGCCTTCCAAGTGGATGGTTGTATAAATTTAAACTGCAGCGCGGAATCTCAAGTCATAAAATAAATGGAAACTCAAAAAATGTTCTGCTGAGTTGGTTGAAGAATGGTTTAAAAATGTATCTATCAAAATAGATGGATATGAATTAAAAGACATTTTTAATGTTGATGAAACTGTTCTTTTCTTTAAGTTTACATCCACAATAATCCTAGCTTTCAAAGGAATTAGTGTCATGGAGCTAAGAAAAATACAGAATGCCTTAATTTTTGTGCAAATGCTGATGGTATGGAAAAACAGATTCCTTTAGTTACAAGAAAGTCACAAAAACCAAAATACTACAAACATGTTAAAACTTTGCCATTATAATATAAAGCAAATGGACATTTTTACAGAATGAGGCTCAAGATTAGAGATAAAACTACAAAATTTTATTTTTTATGATCAGTGTATAGCACATCGCACATCCCCAAATGAGTAGATTCCTTGCAAAATGTGAGTCATTTTCTTCTAAACAAATTACACTAGTGTAGTACAACTTTTAGATTTAGGTATCACTAAGAATTTGAAAACATTCTACAGGCAAATGTTGATTCAAATAGCCGTTCAAAATATAACTACAGGAAATATATACCATAATTTAAATATTTAGGGTATGAATATGCTTTCGCTTGCCCGGATTAAATTTAACAAAACAAACGATTAAAAATTGCATCACAAGCAATTAAAAATTACATCAGTAATGGAGGATTTTCAAACCCAGAGTCAAGTCAAAGTGTTGACAATGAAAGGATGATGAAACTGTGATTATGGATGAAGAAGATTAAAAACTTTTGAGATTAGGTTTATGTGATTATGGCAAAGCTTCGAAGGCTGTCTGCCAACAGGGAAGGGATGCCTTTGTGGAGGACTTTCTATGGGAGACCGGCTCATATACACATTACATATGGAAAAAGCCAACACCCATGCAGCAGCCTGTTTGCAGGATTCGAACCTTGGACCGAACTACCAGTGTTCAGCAATTTTACTACTCAGTTGCTGGTGGACCATTACAGTAAGGAATATGTAAACTGTGATGTTAATGAAAAGGCATCAGACTTATGTGTAGTTAAAGAGCTGATTGAAAACATTTTACCAAATTTAAAAGCCATTGGCCTTTTGCCGCAACAAGGGTGGGAAGAAATAATCCCATTTTCTTTTCAAAATGCTATCAGCTGCATTGACAATCTCAGAAATTTCTTTGTGTGGGAATTAAGTTCTTGACAAGCAAGTCAAGAACTTAATTCAATTTATGGATTTAAGATTCAAAATCCAAAGACATGTCAGCAGATAAAGATGATTTTTTCTTTAAAAACAAGTTAAAACTTGTTTTTTAATTTACAGGATAAAAATGTTCTTGTTAAAAGGACCATTAGATTCCTGTGAAAGCATTTTAAGTTAGCTGTAAGAAATTCACTAAATATGCAGAAAATCGTCTTGTATGGCTGGTTCACCCAAGCAAAAAAGGCCTTGAGTGGAAAGGGTTAAATTTATTTTTCTTTTTAATGAAAACAAGCTTAATTATGATTCACACTAAATACTTTGTTTGAATCTATTCAAGTAAAATAATTATGATTCACACTAAATACTTTGTTTGAATCTATTCAAGTGAAAAGGAGCCTACTGTATTTTATTTCTTTACTTTAACAGATTAAATATTTTTTCTCTTAAAATTCTTCAAAATATGAAAATAGCTAACAACAATCAATAAATATTTACCTTAACAGTTTGCAGGAAAATAAGTTCTTGAGAATGAAGCATTTCTGGTTTTTTCTCACCTTTAAGATCATCTAAACTCCTATGAAGAGTTTTCTTTCGATTTAAGTCAAATTTGCTTTTCTCCTAAAAAATTAGAAAGAAATGTAAATAAATGAGTCTTTTCTAAGCAAAACTAATTTATACTATATACAGCATTAGAAATATCATTTAATAAAATAATGCAGCAGATGTTAATAAAAATTAGAAGTTGGACATATTATAAATTATTTGCACAGTCAACAATCAAGTCATTGCTGTGACACAAAGCACTAAAGTTAGATAATTGTTAAAATTAAACCAAGTTCACCTGCATCCATTTAAGTTGTTTGTCACTAGAGGCTTGCATCTTGAGAGGATCACTGGAGGTCAAAAGACAGATTAATCATAGGGTGGGCAGTGAAATAAATTTTTAGACAATTAAAATGAAGCATACCAGTTCTCATCAACAACAACTATGGTCATTGATGATCAGCCAACATGTCCCTAGTATTACTGAACTTAGATAAATTTATAAACTAAAATCAAACTAAAGGACATTAGTGCCCATTGTAGCTGTTGATCACCATTGATTTACAGGATAATAACTATTTAAAATCAATCTTTTGATTCAATCAGCAGCATTGTGGTGCAATAGAATAAATTTAGTTTATTTAGATTTAAATTAAATCAAAAGCACACCAGCGCCCATCAAAGCTGTTGGTCACCTGCAACCAAGAGACTGAAGGTTAAATCAATTGGTCATCGATAACACAGGAAATTTAGATAGAAATTTAAATCAAATCAGAACACACCAGTACCAGCAAAACTATTGGTCACCAATGACTTATAGGTACAGAGTCACTTGGAATCAACCAATCAGCCATAATGTTGGAAAGTGCAATAAATTTAGATGGATTTGTGTTAAAATTAAATCAAACAGTAAAAGCCTCATTAAGGCTGATGATCAGCAACAATAACCCTTAGGTCATTAGTGCAGTAAATTTAGATACAATTTGAAATTAAAACTAAACAGAAGCACAACCAGAGCCCAAATGCCTAGAAAGCCATTTAATCATTCATGAATATACAGATAGCTAGGCACTATTCCTATAACTTATAGATCAATAGTCACTGTCTTATACTGGTATCGTTTTTCATCACCAGCGTAGAAAGGTACAATAAATTTTAAACAGATCTTTAAATTAAAATGAAGCACAAATTTGCCCATTAATGCTGTTGGTCACCAGTGACATACAGGTTAACAGTCACTAGATGCCAGTCCTAAAGATCATTGAAGTTCACCAATGAGGGGCAGAAAGAATTTTGATAACTTAAAATATAAAATTAAACTAAACACACCAGGACCCATCAGAGCTTCTGGTCACTAATGGTTTGTAAGGCAGTAACCACGGACTCATGCCTTAGTTACCATAGGCTTTTGATTACTGGCATTTATATAAGGTTACTGGTGTATGGTAGTACAATAAATTTAGTTAAACTTTTAAAATTAAATAAAACACAAGGCCATTATTGTTTGTAACTAAAGGACACCAGTAATTGTTACAGCTCATAATCAAGGCCATTGTTCACATGTTACCTATAGGTATTTAATTACCAACATATAGCAGTGCAATGATACTACAACAGGAATATTTATCAAAGCAAATGGATGGTATGTATTGGGTTATTGCAAATGAAATGGCCGATTTTAAGGATAAAGATTAGAAAGGATAAATTAGAGAATAAAAAAGAAAGTATCTGTTTAACCAAAGTAATTTCCAGCAGTATAAATGGTTAAAGGCAATTAATGTATTGCTGCCAGTCATTAGCAAAGTCATTAATACAATGTTTGTAGAAATCAGTGTCTTAATGAAGGATCTCACTGCCTGATAAATTGATGCATCATTGGCAAAGTAATTCTTAGGCAAAAAAATAGCTCAAGTGCCAAAAAAATGGTAGTTTATTGTTTATTTGGGAAATGTCAGGAAAGTATGGGAAATGAAGCACAATTTGTCATGCCGAATTGCTGATTTAATATATGGTTTAAAATGCCATATGTGGTCAGGTGTTAACCTGAAGATATGGGACTTCACATAGATTCACAAACGCTGATTGCTTAAGAAACGATTTGCCATACATTCGCCACATATTTTTATGATATTAAGCTGCATTTATCATTTCACTTCATGAAATCAGGAAATAGCAAAAATTATCATCAAAAAACCACCATACAGTAAACAACATAATCTTAAGTATACAAAAGTGTCTTAGAAGTGCTTTCCATAGAGCAATTTTAACCACCAAATATTGCTACAAAGGTTTATGATTGACATATGATATTAACATCAACAACAAGAACAAGAATGATGGAATATTGCTTTTTAAGACAAGAAAGTACATTTTCAAAAGTCATGCTTTGTTTTCATTAATGAGTTCATAAAACATTTCACCAGTCAAGCTTCTTTACATTTCCTAATAGTGCAAGAGCATGAAACAGTTGAAAAGTGTACAGGTGATCACTCATTCTAGTTGTCACGGATCTGATTCAATTAAATTATTTAATTCATTGAAATATGGATGAATGATAGATAAAGTGGAGGAAGGATGATGGCCACCTGGTTTGTTTCATAACCTCAGATTTCAGAATAAAATTTTGTAAACCAGTGGTAAGTAGATCTCTCATTAGTTGTTCCTCAATTCAATGCATTATTGATGTCTTTTACATACACTGTAGAATTTCCCAATTTAAATGCATAAAGTTATGACAACCTTAACTGATGTAGTTTCATGGTCGTCTTGAAAGCTGTAATATTCAAAGTTTAATACTTGTTAAATGAAAAAATACTGCGTTTGCATCCCCTAGGTGCAGTGTTGTCACATGGAATATAGAATTTGCATTGATATCAGTGCTTGTTTGTTCTTAAGCCAGTACAAATCTTACAAGGTATTTCTTCCGCCTTCTTGGTGTGGTGGTCTTCATGCTGGGTGCGTATTCCAGAGGTCCGCGTTCGATTCCCGGCGAAGGCGTTGCATATTTTTCATCTTGCCTGCTTCCAAAAAATATTTAATATCTCTAAAGTGACGCCCGAACTAAAAGGGTGTTGGATGATGATTCTCCTCACCAAAGATTTGGCGATTGGGCCCCCAGAAAACCCCAGGCACCCTTTAAAAGGGGGAGTATATAAGGTATTTCTACTGCTTTCTTGGCATGTCTTTGCGGTCTGCACACTGGGCGTGTATTCCAGAGGCCCGCGGTTCAATTCCCGGCGAAGGCGTTGCATATTTTTCATATTGCCTGCTTCCAAAAAATACCTGATGTCTCTACAATCTAACTTAATTCAGTGACCAATTTATTCACAACAACCTAATACTTCATAGCGTAACATAACTACAAATATAATATAGCACTCCAAAAAGTTTAGAATGGTAAATATATTTCAGATGTTAATACCAATTTTTACAATATGCATTACTATCGGCAATATCCAGATAATTTTAAATGATACAAAAACAAATCAATTATTCAGATATGGTACATGGTATTTGACAAATCTTTTCCTTTTTACAATTTTATGATTTTTGTCCAATTTGGTAGAAATTAGGAATTACTCAATATTTCAATTCATGGTCAAATTTGGGGGAAAAAGAGGCCCAGCAGTAGTCAAGTGCTAAAACTACTGAATACTAGCAGTTTCAGTCTGAGTTCAGATTTCAGCAAATGACATAGATACATGGGAACTTTTATGGTAGTGTGACATGAATATCAGCCAGTTTTCCTTAAAAAGTCTTCCACAAAGGTGTATCTTCCCTAGATAGCCCTCATTTGCTTTGTCGTAATATAAATAATTCTACAGTTAACAGAATTTTTTTTTAAAGGAGTGATTGCTTTCTCTATGCCTTAGTCCATACATTTAAGGCAATGTGAATCTATACTTTAAAATAAGATTTGAACATTTATATTGTTTAATAATTAAAAACAGCTGTTTAAATTATTGTATATATATTTTTATATCCCTTTAAAAATATAAAACTTCAAAAAAACAATGCAGCATAAAAGCAAAAAAAAAAAAAAAAAAAAAAAACTTAAGGTCATGCATTTGTTTAGATGCCTTTTCATTTAAATAACTACATAAAAGCATAAGCTTTAATTTAGCTTTTCAAAAATTAATGATATCATAACAACATAAATATGAAAAAAATGGGCCAAGTTCAGGAGAAGCAGCATTTGGTGTAGTAGGCATCATCGACAAAAGAGCTGAGATCTAATGGATGGCAAGTTCCATAGCAGTTCCTCTAATCATAGCTGTAGGAATGTAAAATGTTCATTTAAAAAACAACTTTGTTTGATATTGGATTTCTAACTTTGCAAGTTAATTTCTAATTGGAGAAGTCAAATTTTTTAACTTAATTTATTGACAATTAAAACTTGAAGTTAGAAATCTAATATCAAAGAAAGTAACAGATTGTTTTCTAAATGAATTGAAGAACATTGTACATTCCTACAGCTATTATTAAAGGAAATGTTATGGAATTCGTCATCCATTAGATCTTAACACTTTTGTCGGTGACACCAACGACACCAAACAATTAGCAATTACTCAATATGGTACCTTCTAAAAAACTTGCTAATAAATAGCTATAAATTCAAAATATTTACAATTATTTATAGAAATAATTTTTGAGAAACTAAAGTTTAATCAATAAAAAAAATTCTTTAAATAGTTCTTTTTTTTTTTTTTTTTTAAATTAAAGATAAAAGAAATTGTTACAAAAGATATATCACCTGTTTGCTTTTAACTCTTCTATTGAGTTTATCCATAGAGCCCCAAGTACCATCAAAATAATCTTCTCTCATGAAAGTCTGTCCAAGTCCTTGGAGATGTGGCTTGTAAAACATAGGATCTGACATCAACCATGGTTGGCTCCAGCTATGGGCTGTATCATCAGGAGGTAAGCTTGAGTCTCGCAAATAACCATGGGTTTCATTATACATGGAAATTGATCTAGGTACAGGACTTCGACTCCTCCCTCTTTCATATAATGACTGAGTACTGAAACTGGTGGCTCCTCTGCCCCAGCCTGCTCTGCGATTATGATAAGGAGGTGCTGAAACACCTGATAACAATGATTCCATTGACTGAGAGCTAATCATAGGATCTGTACCTACAGAACAAATCTGAACATCTGCTTCAATTTCTGTCTGGACAGATATTTCTTGTTTTGGAAATATTGAATCTGTGGATGAAGCAATAGATTTACATAACAAGTTCTGTGTTTGAACATCAGTGGATTTTGTAGTTGTAAACGTTTGAGTTTCAGTTGTTAATTTCAAAATAGCATCAATATTTTTAATTGAAATTTCATCTGATACTTGCAGGTTATCTTCAGAAACTTCTGCATTTGCCTGGGAAATTTCTATGCTATCTGCAACACAACCAGAATCTTCTACAACCTACAAAAACATGAGTGAATGACTCATATATTAACTTTTTTTTATTACATGAATTTCAAATTGCATATTGTAGGTACAAATTCCATGATTCCAAATGATGAATAGAAAGTTTTGCAATATAAATAATTTTAATTAATCAAATAGAATGTAAACAATAGCGAAATCCTTAGCTCTAATGATTATTTAAAAAAAAAACTCTACAAATGTAGTTTATATGATTTCAGAAGAAATAAAACCTTAGAATAGAGAATTTGTCTAAAGATGAAAGAATTTTAGATATACAGAAACATAATAAAAATATAACAATATATTCATTTTAAGAAATTTTATCATATATTAACTAATTTAAATAAAATTTTATTTATGATATTACAAAACACAAATTTTACTATAATAATATGAATACAAAAATTCATAACTTTACTTGTTAATTAAAAAAAATAACTTACATGATTAGTGTTTTATTATGTAAGTATATTTATATCTAAAACAGTACAGGAAATCTGGTGTTAGAGGTTGATTAAAAATGCACATATCAGATTAGTATATTATGAAAAAATGAGTGTGATTATTAAAAAAAAAAAAAAAAAAAAAAAAAAAAAAAAGAGAAGAAGAAGAAGAAAAGAAATCCATAATTGTTCATTAGTTCATGGAAATACATTCACAATTCTGGCATCCTTAAAATTTCAAGTTAAATACACATATATATATACATGTACTTAAAATTAATTTAAGAACATAAATACTTACTTTTACAATAAAAATTTATAGAAAAGAATTAAATGTACTTGCATCATCTTGAATGTTAAAAGGCTGATAGGCTTTTTAACATTCAAGTCACTTTAGTTTATAAATATATATATACATTATATTCAATATATTCATTTGGACTAGTTTATATATATATATCATAACAAAAAAAAATAACAATTAAAAGTTTATCACTGTATGTCAACAACAGAAATTTTTTAAATTACATTGATGAAATATTGGTCAACTGCTACCTTAATTTATAATATAACATTAATAAATGAAGAAAAAAGTCATAATGAAACCTCATAAATGCAATACTCAAAGAAAATCATTATATATTTAAACAATCGTTAAAAAATAAGAAAAGTTAAAACAAAAAGTTAAAACTCAACTTCTTGCTACTGCAGAAACAAAGGGCTTTGTGAGTAGTGACAATAAAACAGCACAAAATTAAATGATGCAATGATGCATATAAAATAATAATGGAAAAATAAATTTTTAAATGCAATTTTTCTGAAAACTATATCTAAATTTCATAAAATAACAATTTTATGCTTGATGTATATTGTGGCTTGTTACCATTCAGAATTCAGTCAATGATTTTGTTCGATTTAAAATTACATTAAAATGTTTCAACTTCTTCAAATTTTTTTGCATTTAAAACAAAAAAACAGATGACAAACTGAAATCTGTATTTTTGTATGACAATACATACTCTTTCTTATTGTTATATCAGTACATCACATACAGGGCATAATTCTTTTCTTTGATGTGAGATAAATGCTGAGGCACTTCACAGAACATAAAACCAAATGAAGAAAGCAGTATTAGAGGGCGGGAATCTCACTAGGTTTTTTAAAATATAGAACCAAAGTTTTAGCCAAACAGTGTAGGGAAAAAAAATCATAAAGAATCTGAAGAAAACCCCCATAGAAGGTATTCAAGAATGTGATAATTATGCAACAAGACATTAAAAAATAAAGGCATTGGTTTGTAAAATGAAAAGTAACAGTAGACTTTTCACCTCTTTTTTATATACCTGCTTTGTTTTGTGATACTTTTAACAACCTGAAGTATTAGCAAATCTACAAAAATTAGATGATATAAATTGAATTCTAAAATCCCCTTGCATGTACAAAAAACACTGATTTCTCAAAAACTGCAGAAGAATGAACCAAATTGAAATAAATTATTTTGGGAATAAATAGCATCATAACATACAAACTGAAATCTGGATATGTGTAAATAAGTCTAAACTATATTTTGAAACAAATGAAATTAAAATAACATTTGACAATAAAAAGATGACTATCTTTTAAACAAATGAGAACTTTTGAAATTATCAGAGAATACGATCTCCATGTATATGTACATATATATATCACAATCTAAATTCATGCTTTCAATCAGATAATTCATTAAGAGTCTGGAGGATAAAGTTTCACTCCTCTAAGAGTATGGTATTCAAGACATCGAGATTTCTAGAAAGAAAATTTTTCACCATGTGGAAGCTTTTAAAAGAATATAAGTTCTACACAAGATTTTCATAGAATTTTTGCTCAGTGCCTTTAGTTTCAAGAAATTCATCAACCAGATTTGCTCAGTGTTGAGAAGGATTATAACCATCAAAAAGAAAGTCTTTATATGCACATTTGATTTCAGTCTGAAAATAAGTGAAGAAGGACATTCATTCATCACTCACTACATCATCACATTTGCATCACCATAATGGTCATATTCCCCAACACTGAGAGGGAGTGATATTTTGTATCCTTTAATTCCTGTAGATATTTAGAACATTAAGAATATTAAGCGGAATTGTAACTCGTTACTGAAAAAAAAAAACACAAGACTGTTCACACAGATTGTCGACATTACATTCATGAGCATTTTAAAATGAAAATTCAGCAAAAACATCCTGAAATGTGGAGAAGATCTTAGGAGTTGCATGACAAAGCACTAGCTTAGTTCTCTTAACATTTATTGTGTGCCAGTTTTTGACTTCCTCAACCAAGTACAAATGACATTCCCCATTTTATTTACCAGATTTAGCCTCCTGTAGTTATTTTGTTGCCAAAAAAATCAAAATGAAGCTCAAGAGGAAAGATAATGCAAAACATAATGAAAGAAATAATAGATAAAATTTATAAAATTTTAAAAAATCTGAAAGCTTTAAGATTTTACATTACGCCCAAAGGGGTGTATCTTTCACGTTTTGTGTGTTAACTTTATTTATTAAATATCATGCTCTTTACACTTAAACCATAAAATTCAATTCAACAGCAATATCATAAAATAATTTTTAAATGAGCAAAGCTTTGGAATTTCCATTACACAGTCTTGCACACTGGAGGTAATTTTTTTTATTTTTAATTTTTGTGTGTTGCTATTGCTCACTTTGAAATCGTTGAGTTTGTTAATCAAAAATTCATTAAAGTGTTACAAAATATGAAACTGATAATAAAACAAATTTCAAATTCCAAATTTGGGCTTCCAGATGATCTGATTTGGCAGAAGATTATGTTATTCAAAATTTGATGGCTCTAGGTACTGTTGTTTCATCCCAGTGTGAGAAACATACATACATTTATGGAGATTCTTCTTTATTTAATCTCTTTAAATATAGCACAGGGCGATAATTTGGGGGGCAACAGTTTGAAAAGTGAACTAACATTTATAGTGAACGAAAGCAAAATACCAAAATGAAATTAATAGTCCTTCAGGGCAAATTGTCCCTATGGACTAAAAATGAACTCCATGTGTGTTCACAGACATTGAAATCATGCTAGGTATGTTGCATTAATGTAGCAGCAATACATGAAGTTGGTTAATTTATTATAAGTGTGCAATAATAATAAATATATTCTGGAAGCTTTTGGCACACATCTTGCATACACTGCTAAAAAATTGTTATTTTTAACAGTGTAAAAATGAAATTTAATTTATGATATATCTAACTCATAATTTTTATAAATATGCACAGGTTCATTAAAGATACTTTGTATGGTGTACATTATGTACTCATTCAGAGAATAATCATTTTCCCTTTATCTAGTCATGAGCTCACTACATTTTTCTTCTGTTTCTTCTTTCACTACCTTTTCATTCAGTCTTTCTACATTTCTTTTCTGTTTCTCAATAATGCTTGATTAGTCAACACGATATACTTCTTTTATTCATGATATTCTTCTTAGTCAATATGATAATCTTTCTTGCATATGGCAAATTTTGTTCAAAGCTCTTTTTTAATTTCAAATCAAACAAAATATTGCAATTTTTTCAATCAATACAATAAATCTTGTTTTCTACGTTTTAATGAAATTACATGTAATTTAACTATAGTCAGTGAATAGAATTAATATATTTATATTTTAATTATTTATGGCAATGTTTGTGCAACATACCTTTTCTACATAATAAAGCCATAACTAATTAAAGTTAAAAATTCAGTTTGCATAAATGTCCAAAAAAAAAACTTTTATGCAAAATGCACAATATTTAATGAATTTCTTTATTATATATTATACATTAAAAATCTCATAATTAAATCCGAACATGTTAAAAAAAGAGCCTCATTAAAATAATTCAACATGGCAAAAGAATGCCAGAACTGTGAAAATATAATAAACCCACCTGAATATCAAAACAGCCTCTCTTCAAAACTTCTACATTTCTTTCCTCAAGGAAATTAGAGCAAGAAAGGAACTGGAAAACCATGCACTGACATAAACTGAACAAAATTATTTAAGAGAACTAGAGCAAAACATCCATTTTATACTACCATGCAATGATGATTTTGGGGTAAAAAAAGTCTAAAGTAATTGCAATTCTCAGAATATGGCAAGAATGAATCTTAAATATGAGCAAATAAAAGCAGATACTTTTAAAACCTATAAATTTTAAATTAAAAAAAAATTTAATGCATGAAAGAAACACTTAAATGAATTCTCAAGTAATAATAAACAAATTCTAGACAATATGACTCAATATTAAAAAAAAAAAGTTTAAATATATCCTAAAATTTACTCATAACTAATATTATACTATGAATAAAAGAAACTGCAGTTTATACCTACCAAAAGGTATACAATACATGTAATCAAAAAAAAAAAAAAAAAAAAGTAAAGCATGTTAATTACAGTCAGCAATATTCAAAAGACTATAAATGCAAACAAATAAAATTTATAAAGGTACTAATGCTTAAAAATGTAACAGAATGATGCAAATTAAAAATCAGTCTATAAAATTAAAAGTGTTTTGATTTGAGGTACAAAACACTTTAAAACAAGTGGTGCTTCAATTTAATATCTTGAAAATTCAAAATTAGATAATTTGGAATGTCATTAATTCTAGATGTTCTAATGTCTTCAATCATTAAAAAATTGCTTAATTTAATATTTTCTTTTATTGATTACAATTTAATTGCGAGAAAGTGTATTTTCGATTTATTCGGATAAAAGTATAGTTAAGAATTAAAACTATTTCCAGAAGCATGTGATTTATAATTTCATTTAAAAATAGGACATAATATAAACTACAAAATTTACCTCTTGGAACTGTAAACAGAAATTCTAGTGAACTAAATATGATCAAAATCCTTTTGTACATTCTATAAAAGTATCCCAAGACTAGCAAAATTAATGAATGTTTTGTAATTATTTTCTAATACAGATAAATCCTTATAAATACTTTCTAAGATTAATTATGATTTCCCCTAAAATTGATGCAAGTTAAGCAAGAAATTTTAAAAGTCTATACGTATAGGGGAAAAAATCAAAAGAAATTCAGATGAGTAACTGTTCTCCATCTTTGTTTCTAGCTTTAGAATTGTATGTACAGTGCATTTTCTCTCAGTAATTAACTGCTAAGACATAGTAAACTAAGAATTATTTCCAAAATAATTATATTGAATAAAAAATAATATACTCAATTCATTAAATTTAAAGATCTTACTAATCTACATTTTTCCTCCTCAAAACAGCAATAATTACTTCAACAAATCCCCCCTTTTGTTCGTTTATATGAGTATTTTTTAATGCAGATATTTTTTTAAACTCAAAAAAAAAAAAAAAAAAAAAAAAAAAAAAAAAAAAAGCACACTATTTTTGAAGTCTTACTAATGTCACTTGATGATGATGCATTGCATAATTAGGAATCAGCTCCAGAATAGATATATATTAAACTAAAGCAACATTGCATTCTTGTAATCTAATAACTCAGATTAAGCCTGGATAACTATATTTGTGCTCCACATGTAAATACAGATATTCACAATATATTCATGAAATAGCTGATAAATCAAGTGAGAAATTAAAAGTGAATATTTAGTTTCACACAGTGTTTACTAGCAAGTAATGCTCTCCTATGACAATATATTTTTGATCGTTTTAAAACCAAAGGAATAAACTTCTTTAAACTAGTTAATAGAAAATATTTTTAAATTATAAATATTAATGCCTCAATATTCTACATATTCTTTCATATTAAAAACTATTTCTTATTGCAAGTTGTCATAAGTTATGTCTGATTATTCAAAAAAAGACAGTATCAGAAATATGTATAAAAATGAATGTGACCAATCAACATAACATTTTAAATACAGTTTCAGACTATTAAACCATAATTTAATTTTTTCAACTTCTGAAGAATTACAGGAAAACAAATAGTTCAGAAAATTTTGCAATTTTTCATATATTCTCTTATAAACTGCAAATAATTAAATAAATAAAAACCAAAATGATTCCATATTTGACTAATGTTTATCTCTATTCAATATCAGTGATGTCTACTGAACAATAATTGCTTAAAACCAGTCACTTTGCTTGCTTTATTTTCAAAGAAAAATATAAAAGAAATACAAGAAATTTATTGAATCTCATTAGCATAACAAATACATATATCAAAATGTATTACTCACATAAACATAAACGAAATACTTGTAAACAAATTTCTTTGATTCACATTCATGTAGATATCCACATGATTCAACACATTCACTACAGTAGTGTATAACAGTAGACATGTTTATTCATTACGTCACACATTTAAATGAATAAAAACATTCCCATTTGCGTATAGCTGCTCTTAAAAAATCACTAAATGAAATATAAATTCAATAATGCATTTTGAATTATTTATATCACCTTTTGAGCTTCTCTATGTTCAGAAAATTCAGATGACGCTTCAGCATCCCTGTTAACTAGTTGCATTGGAGATTCACTGTCTCTATTGTCCACTGGTGAAATTTCACTTATTTCTTGTGATTCTGAAGATTTTGTTCCATAACTGGTTTTGCAACACACTTGACAAATGTAGATACCTGGAGGATTTATGAATGTACAGTGCACACATGACCATGGTTTTGTTGGCTTTTCAGGAACTTTAGGCTCAGCATCTTCTGCTTGAACTTCTGCAGTATCTAAAAATAATTAAATAAGATGTAATAAATTCATTTTTGCAAATACAATGTTCCTTTACAATTGAAAGTTATAATAGTCAGCAATCTCAATAACTTTAATTTCATAATAAATATTACATAAAGCATTATAAAGAGTTTAAATGATTTAAAAAAATGGCAATATTTCCAAATAAGTACGGTGAGCAATAACTAGTGCTTTAAATATTGGTTAAGTATATGCATTAAAACAGTTTTTATTATATGCACAAGTAAGATATTTTTACTTCTGTCTTAATACTCTAATTAGCATTAACTAGGGCTTTAAATATTGATTAAGATCTTGCACAAAGTTTACAGCATTAATATTTTAAAACTTTGGAGGAATTTCTGGAGCCTTTCTCTTTGTTTTGTCTTAGCATCTGACACAATAATCAAGCTTTTTGTTGTAATATAGCACATACTCTTAGATACCAAATCTGCAATTTAGTGTTATAACTACACTAGAGAAAAGCTGAAATATATTGCATGCATGAAATTTTCAAAAGACCTGAATAAAAGTATAAGTGAATTCAAAATTCTTAAATCATGTTCAGAATTCAAAGATAGAAATTAGGATGCAGATAAATTTAATAGCATTCTATTGTCTATAAGTTCAAAATTCATAAAATAAAGCCCATAAAATCCTCCATATTAGTTACTTTCTACTTACTCTGTTGAGAAGCTGTTTCGGTTACCGAGCCATCAACCATCTTGTTTTCATCAGTGGCATGTTCTGAAACTGTATTTACTTCTTCATTGCTTTGTTCTTGTCTAGAATTGGTAGAACTTTTCCTCACTCTCTGCATTTCTGCTTGCTGATGCAAATCTTTGATGAAATTTGGGTCAACGGCTGGTGGAATATTAGGATAAAATGCACTACCAGGATAGGGATAGTGAAAATTAGAATCTGAAAATATAAATGTAAATTATAATGAAAATTCTTTTTCTACTGCTTCTTGCATTTTATTGAATTATATATTATGATCCAAAAATGAGCGATGTGTAGAAAAAAAAAAAAAAAAAAAATAAATAAATAAAAAAAAAAGATAGAAAAATTTTTGTAACAGATTTCTTTACTAAAAATTTAAAACACACTTCTGTAATCCTTTAATATTTTAATATTATTAAAATACTAATATTTATTAAAATATTATATTAAAAATTAGAATTAATTTCATAATTATATAATGCAAAAGTTCTATAATGTATGTAAAAATTCTTTTCTACTTCATGAAATGAAGTGCTTTACTTTCAGTACATTTATCTTGACATATTAACAATCACTGATATTGTTGATTGATATATTAACAATAGTTTTATCAAAATATGGTGAGTATTTTGGTACCATCAATAATACTTCAAAAATACTGGTACTAAATTTACTCAAAGATATTTGATTTTATTCTTCCTTGTTCAATTTTGAGCACTTAGTAAACCGATCAAAATAAAGAAATCGGTATAGTAATTATATTTTATACAGGCTTGAATATAAAATGACCCTGCACTTTAAAAAAAAAAATTGGGTAAAATGCAGAATCGCCCACTTATTTGTTTCACATTTGTTTGGCAACTTTTATAGTAAGAATAATTGTATTTTTGTCAATTTTCTTTGACTTTTTAAGTAAAAATAGGTCGATGTGTACATGGACAAAGTCAAGGGAGTGCGCAATGCCATTTTTTGTGCAAGTCTGGGATTTTTTTTAAGTGAAAATAGGCAGATGTGTACATGGACAGAGTTTGTGCAATTCTTAAAAACGTGCCAAGCAGTGGGTGATTGAGGAAGAAAAAATTTCATGAGGAAGAAAAAAAAGCTTGCATATGAAACAGCCTTTCATACATAAATCTGATATACTGAAGATCTACAAAGATGATAATTAACTAATCTAAGTATTGTACCATGAAGAAAAATTAAGTAAATGCATTTTGTTTTAATGGAATAGTTAAGGTATAAATAATATATTGCCTTTATTATATTTTTTAAATATTAGACTGCATATATATAAGATGAATGAGTGATTTTCAGGGAAGCATTTTACAGGAAAACTTATGTCATACATTCAGAGTAATATACTAACATGAAAATACAGCAAAACCTCTCAAAGAAACAACCTCTCATAAATAACCACCCTGAAAATGATAAGTATTTCTCAGAACATAAATAAACTTAGGACAGAACTATTCTTAGTAGTTTAATATGGAAATAAATATATATTATTAAGAAAATTACATATTTCAGTGCATACATGCATCTATGTATATGCAATGAGTACCTCCTAACATAATGAGCAACTCCTTTCTCACAAAGCCTACAAGCAATTACTACTCATTATTATTTGATGAGTAATGTACAACAAGCATAGCTTCGTCAGTCTTTTAGTTGAAGTCTACAACCAGTGCAAGTAATTCTTTTTATTATAAGTAACGTTTACAAGTAATTATTTTTTTGTTATCATAATACCAAAGCTATAACATGCTACTTTAAACTGTTCAATAAAATGTTATTATGTAAGTGCTTTATTTAAACATAATTTCTCATTATCTTACCATTTTAAATTGCTGTCTGATGATTATATTCATACACTTTGTTTAAGCTAATTATGCAAAATTCAATTCACAAAGGATTTACAATACTTATTTTCAAAACATTTCCAGAATTTTGTGAAAATTTCATAATAATTCAGAGAATGTAGACATCGTATTTTCAACAATTACTTACTTTATTTAAACACAATTTAAAAAAGATTAAATAGCAAAAGGCTACTAAATGCAATGTTAAAAGGGAAAATTCTCTATGACTGAAATTTTCCAAACTATGACTGAATCTCTATGACTGAAATTTAAAAGAATTCTTTCAATTTTGCACTCGCATGAATGTTATCATGAAAATAAAACATGATCATAAAAGCACCTTACATCAAATGTAATATGTAGATTTTATATATGTAGATATGAAACATCTACATATATAAAATCAAACATAAAATGTAATACAAAATCTCTTTTAAAAGTAATTTTTTGATTAATAATGTCATAATAATACATATAAAAGAAATAATAAAGAGTCTAAGAATAAGTTTCATATTACATAAAATGGTGATACTTTAGCAAAAATATAAATAAAAATCAATATTGATTTCTGTATTCACTTAAGAGTCATTTTCTCACACCTACCAGCTATAGTCTGTTACTTTAGAATTGGCACTTAGAATCATTTTCCTTACCTAATGTGAATATGAGTAGTTTCTTCAGAAAGTCCTCCACAAAGGCAACCCTCCACTTAAGCAAATCATGGCCTTCCCCCCCCCTCAACTGCTTTCTTCCTACTTCTTCCCATTTAGCATGTTTCACTTCATGTAATGCATATGAATGTTAGTTGAATTGAACTGTAGTCTCAAATGTGGTAGAGAAAGTAAATGTGTGAGGTGATCATGACATGCATTATTATTATCATAACTGAGGTATGGTGTAAAGATGAAGTGCTTATTTTAATATAACAGACTACAGTGCAAGGCTTTCAATTTAATTCCTCTTCTTACTTATTTATATACCATAATAAAATTCTACGCTTTATTGATTAAAGCAGAAAATGCCCTAAATTTCTATTTTTTGAGAAATATATGATGCATAAAATATCAAATCATCACTTTGAATGTCATAAAATGCCAAAACATGTAAAACTTAAGGCCCACCAGTGGCCGAGCGGTAAAGTCGCTGAACACTGGTAGTTCGGTCCGAGGTTCGAATCCCACGAACGGGATGGCTGCATGGGTGTTTTCGTGGTTTTCCCCATGTGTAACGTGTATACAAAGCCAGTTTCCCTTAGAAAGTCCTCCACGAAGGCAACCCTTCCTTTAAGCAGATAGCACTCGAGGCTTTGCCGTAATTAAATAACCTAACCTAACCTGTAAAACTTAAATTACTTTTGAGATCCCAGCATTCTAGAATGTTACTTTACTTTTAGCAATATCAGCAATAATATTATTAAACTCAATTTCCTTACTTATTTGCTGCACACAGCATGGGAAATGTTATAAATATATGATCTCATTTGTTAATAACTAGTAAAATTTACACCAAAGGTGAGGAAAATTTATTGCTCCATTACAGGACTGAACTCAGAACTGAATAATACTAAAGATTCTATTTTAGAATTATAGAAGGCATTTAGTATTATGAACTATATATATGGATTTCATTTCAGAAAAAAGTGTGAAAGTTCACAGAAACTGTCTTTTACAACTTCTGCTTTATCTTTCACAACAATAAGAGAAATAAAACTCTGTAATCTTTTTTTCAAAGAGGAAATTTTCCTTGTTAATGTCAACATGATCAGGATTTGGTTGACATTCATTTTATCATACAAAAGATTCAATGAGTAAAAAGGACATAACATAGATGTTGAAATTTCTGATTTCTTGGACTGCTGCATCTATGATAAAAAGAATATTTCTCTTCAACTTAGTTTTGTCAGACAACTGCATCTCCTAATTTTTTACTCATCAGTTTTTTCTTTTTGCCCCAGAGATCTCAGATCCTCAAAATTTTTTTACATAAAAGTTCCTGAACTGGTTACTTCTTTACTTCCTCGGAGAAAAATACTTTACAAACTTTGAGATTTATGTGGCATTCTTGCATATTTAATCTTTTGATTTAGAGAAGATACACATGCAGAGACTCTACTTACAGAGCAGAGCAGAAGTGTCCATTTATAAATGGGAGCAAGTTTCTGAAAACAGTGAATTGGCCTAAAGTACACAGTTAACATATAATTAATAACAATATGATATAAAATATGTTATTTATAAAGAGGCAAAAATTTTAATGCTGCCTCTGATTATGTATTACAGTCAAAAGTCGTTAATTCGGACACCCATAATCCGAAATAATCTATAATCCGGACCTCAAAGCTAAAAACTTTCTGCGCATGCGCCGCATTGACACATGCGCGTAGGCGTTTACGCATGCGTTGTAAGACCTTTACGACTGCGCATATGCGTGTGCGCAAGTGCAGAATATGTTTACGCGTGCACGTCTAATGTATAACGGACGGTATAAGCTAAAATTATCTAATTATCTATTTCAGTTAATGTTGATGATTGCGTTGTTCCTTAATCTTCGAACTAGATCTGGCTTATTACTTTTTTCAGACTGTAAGAGCAATTTTATAAAAGTAAACTTGAACTTTCGATTATGTCAAATAGAACTTCCGATGCTGGAGCTCCCAAAGGATCCACAAAACGAAAGTATGTTTCGATGTCCATCAAACAAAAAGTGGAATTGCTGCAAAAAAATGGATAAAGACATGAAGAAGGTGACAGAGAGGTTAGTGAAAACAAAAAAAATTTCGTTTGACAAATTAGTCGGTATTCTCGGCACAGCAATTACCGGGACTTGAACAGCGGAACTTTGTAACTGAACAAGAAATTATGTCTGTTATAGAATTAAGAGAAATTATTATCACATAAACGAAAGCAACTTAAACAACTTACATTGAAAGAAATGTTTAATAAAGTACACCAATAAAACCAATAAATATTAAGCTTTTTTTTTTTTTTTTTTTTTTTTTTTTTGTGTGTAAATTTTGATACCCTTTAGATCATAATTGTTCTTTATTTCATAAATTACGGTTTCATAGTTTTAATTTTAGAATTTCTGCATGCCATCTTACGAGATTTAAACTGATGATCTATAATCCGGAAAAATCGATAATCCGGAATTGCCGAAGTCCCGACGAGCCCGGATTAACGACTTTTGACTGTATTAATTTCTAGAAGGCCAAGGAACTACAATACACCACATGATAACATATACTTTTCTTCACCTATTGAATGTTCTACAACAATGAATATTTTCAAGTAAATTTAAACTCAAAAAACTCAACAGCATTTCCTACTGAAATTAGAACAT